CTGCATATAGCGTTTAACTCCTGAAAACTTGTTACTAATCTGTAACTACCATTAGGTTTAGGGACCAAGAATGCTGGTGAGCCTCCAGTTGAATTACTAGTTTCGATGATTCCATGTTTCATTAGCTCTTTTAACTTTTCATCCATAATTTGTCTTTTCTTTGGTCCAAGTCGATACGGATTGCATTTCGGTATCGAATTATTTCCTATGTCGATTTTAATCTTGACTATGTCAGCCGGAATACGACCCAAATCGTATTTATGAGTTGAGAAACATTTCTTGTGTTTGTTCAAGAATTCTTTCATGCTTGCTTTTTCTTCTCTTGTTAATTCTGTTGAGATACCTTTGTTGAGTGCTTTATCTAGATCGACAACTTCGGCAGGAAATTCATCTGCTCTTTTATCTAGCTTTCTTTTCTTTATTTCTTTATTTTGGCGATTTCCTTTAGCGACTAAAACTTTCTTTGATTCTGCTTTTTCTTTTCTTGCGAAAAATGCCACAGTCTTTGGTCTTTCTTCATCACTATCTTCAGGTTCACTTGAGTCTTTTGAGGAAGAAGCCTTTGGCCTCTCCTCGTTTTGCACTATCCTCATATTAGCGTAAGTTTTCTTTTTACCTTTTCCAAGTCTAACAATCTTAGGAAAATATTCAGCAAATAGATAGTCCCAAAGTGCAGTGTTTGGAATTCTTGCGTTTGCTACTAATGGTCTTCCATATCGTAAAATGTTACAAACTTTGTTTTCGTTGAATTGTAGGGTTACTTCAGCAAGGTGAAGAAAATTCTTTCCCAATATGAAACTTTGTGGAAGATCATCAAACACATAAACTAATAGGCAAATCATCTTTGGGCGAGGATAAACTGTGAAACATATCTGTGTGATACCTTTAGCATTGATAGCTTTAGCTTCTCCACCAAGTCCAACAAATTCTTGAGGGTGGTGATAAATTAGAAGACCTAATTTTTCAGCAAGTTCAGTTGTAATTAAAGTTGTTTCAGCGCCAGAATCAAGCATTGTAGTGATAGGTTCAATGTCTCGATTTTCAAATTTAATCTTGTAATTAACATCAGGAAATTTACAGTTGTCATCAGCACTATAGCCAATCTTTTTTGCTATCATAACTCGACTAGGAGAAGAACTTGAGCAGCTTGTTTCTCTTTTTCTTGCAACGTATGCAACTCTATTGCTATCATCACTTTCACTTGATGAAACTCTATGATGGAATAAACCTTTCTTTGCGTTTTCTTCCAATCTTGATCGCATTGGACAGTTCTTTGCGGCGTGTCCTTCTTTTTCACAATAAACACATTTTTCACTTGATGATTTATCATTGTTTCCGAAGCCTTTGGCCTTGGATCGATTATGATAAGTGTTGTTTCTTTGACCTTGATTAGAGTTTCTTTGATAACCTTTGTTTCTTTGATAACTTTGGTTTGGATTTCTTTGAAAACTTTGGTTGTGATTTCTGTGATGATTGTTCGGTGAATACTGTTGTCTTGATCTACTCGATTCACCTCTATTACTCGTATTGTCACGTTTCTCTTGTACTACATTCTTACTATCAAAAGTAAATGACATCATTGCCGTAGCTAATGCGTCAAAAGTGTTAATACTAGTGTTATTTGTAAACTGTGTTTTCATTTGATGAGGAAGAGTTGATATAATTGCTATTAATATACCCTCCTCGTTAACTCTAGGATATCTCATTCTTGCAGCTTGCTTAATTTTATCACAATAAGCTTGAGCATCCATTCCTCTCTCATATCTGGCAGAAAATAAATCTTGAGCAGCTTTCAGAATATCTGAATTGCTGATGTGATTTTGTCTTAGGTAGACACAAATTTCTTTGAATCTTAAACCTATTGGACTACTAACTTTATAATACTCTAAAACTCTCTGATATAAATTGTCTGTTAAATTAGCCATTAAGACTTTAACTGATTCATCATTTGTTAGTTCAAAAATTACGCATCTATTTTGTAGATCTGATAACCACTGATGTAAACTCTCTTTTTTCTCATCGAATTTATAATGAACCTTTTTCCACTCTGCTAAAAATGCTCGCTTACCTTCAGGTTTAGCAAAACTTTCTTCATATCTGTTAATAGGCTCGCTTACTAATGGTTTAGGAGGATCAGGATTTTGAGGTAAAGGAGTTGAAGATCGGGCATAACCCAAGGTTTCTAGATAGATTTTGATGTTAGGTTGAGTAAATGATTCTATTCTTAGGTCTTCTTCATTGAGTACTTTACCTATGTGTTCACCTCTAATCAATTTTCTAATGCAGATCTCGGATAAACCATTGTAACGGAGTTTTTTGATTTCTTCGGGACATTTCAGGAGATCAGGGTCATAGGGACTTTTCTCTGAGTAATCATCCTCATTAGTTAATCCATGGTAAATAGCCATAGTAGTAATAGCAGCTTTTAATTGTCTTGTTAGTGGACCAGGAGCATTGGCATATTTTTCATATCGGAAACCAAGCATCTCGCACAGTGTTTTCTTATCTTCAGTTTTAAGTAGTTCTTCGACGGTGTTCATTATTGTTGATTTATCAGAGCACGATAAAAAGGTTGAATTGCAATCAGATTCTGTTTGACTTATTTTGATCAGTTTCTTTTCAAGGCTTAAAGCTTTGAAAAATACGATTTATGATGAAACAGTTTAAAGTTGACCTTCAAATAATATTTCTTTTAAACAGGAATAAGTGTTCTTTTTACCAATGTTAACAGCTACCAGAGCAAAAGCTCTTCTTGACTGGATGGACAACAGGAAAATTGATTCTTTAAGTGCCAAGGATTAAGAATCAAATGTGTTTAACTGGTTAACGTGTTTTCAACAAGATGAATCTTTGTGAATTGGTGATAGAGTAAAGTGATTTTACCAAATAAAGTAACCTTTACCAGTTTTTGAACGAAGTGAATTTAAACCAAATAAAAAGACGAGGGATCTCCACCAGTTGTTAGGGTTAGGGTTCGTGACAGAACCACAAGCGATAAACTTATCGAATGTGTACCGAGATCGAGGATGTAAGCCAAGGCTAAAAGCTTTGGTTTAGACAAACGTACACTTCAACTAACAACAAATAAGCAGGTCAACTTGATTTAAGTTATTAACAGAGAGAGCACTTTATTATAACTTGAGTATTAATTAATTATCACAAATGAATTTGTACCAGAGGTAAGATTGACTTAGAGTTTAGAATTTAAACAGGAAATGAATTTAAGGAAACAGCACTAAGGCTTTAACTGAGAGGTTGAGTTGAGAATAGAATTACAAAGTAAGGACAAGAGTAATTAGGACAATGACTGACAAGAGTATTGTAATTATTAAGTGAAAAGTATCAACTGATTTAGATTAGGAAAAGGAAGTGACTTATATACAATTATTTGAAAGACTGAGATTAGTAATGTTGACCAGTAAGGTTAGAATAGTATGATTAATACATTATAATTGGTCATTGATATGACTTGTAGGGGAAAACAATTAATGAGATGTGTCGACCCCTTACATAGAAATTCAAATAAAATCCAAACTAATTTCATTATTTGTTTCATCAACTTTCAATCATGAATCAAAAGTCTCAGAATATAATTTCCAAATTATTGCTATTGCCTGAAATGCTTAATTTTGAGCTATTTTCAACCTTTGAATGTCTAATTTTTCACAATTTTGTGATTCCCTCTGATTGTTAACTTTGACTGTTAACTTTACTATTCACATGATTTGCTGTGTATTACTATTTCATATAATGATGAACCATTAATTTATCATAATGTTTATTATCATTTTGTTGTCTCTTCATATTCAATATGTAAGCGTATAACAATAGTCAGCATCTAATATTAACATTTGATTGTGAATCACGTTCATAGACTTTTTTTTCTGGTTCAACCAGAATATATGTTGTTATCTGGTTTGATGATGAAAATCATTTCAAAGTTTACCTTTGTTCATACCTTTACATTGCTATGTTATTATTAACTTGCCTTTTTTGTACTCTTGAAAATAGCAACAAAACCATAAAATAGGAACCATTTTGCTTCTCACTAATCAACAACAATGAAAAACTCTTAAAAAATTTGTGTGTTAGTCAAGTAAATACAATAATAATAATGATAATAGTGATGATAATGGTAATAATAAGCTAAATTATTGACCATAATGAAAGGTAACAACGATAAAGTTGATGAAAAACTGTTGAAATTGAAAAGGAAAGGAAATGATAATGAAAAGCGCAAATTCAATTCAATATAATAATTGTTGGTCGATTGCAAATCAAAACACAATTTTTATATAAAAACCTGTGAACCCCTTTAGGCATTTTGGGTTTTTTAATGTCATTTCAAATATAAATACATAAATGTAATGATATTATTGAGTCTTCGTAGCTATCAAATTGCAATAGAATCGTTTAAAATCATTTTTTACTGTCATTTAATGACGGGATGAATGAATCCAATGAATGGATTTGGATAATTGAAACATAATTTCAAAGCAACTTGTTGTTTTTATGTTTAAAATTGTAATTAATGGCAATTTGTTAACCTTTCGAGACCTTAATAGTTAAGGTTAACAGATTGCTCGACATCAGAAAAGTCGTTGAATCAGACTCAATCACGAAGATGATGGTAATAATTAACTTAAAGAGTTGTTATTTGTTACATTTAGCGTTGGCGGATTGTCTAGCAATTTATAAATTGAAGTCTACTCTTTAAGCCTTCATCTTTACCAGTGCCAGTGACATTTGATCAGTGATTTTGCAGCCATTGAACTGATTGTCAGTTGATTGTTTTGGTTTGTTTTATTATGTTTCCATAATTATGTGCCTTATTGCGTTGTAATTTACTGATTGACAATTTACAAATTCACATTAGCTAATCTCTGGACTAATAACATGTTTCACTGTTGACTCAACCTTTTCATGTCATTTTGTTTGAACAATTAAGCCTTTTTGTGTTTTAATTTTAATTTTCTCGTCTTTGATTTTGTTTGTATTAGGCACAGTTTTATCCTCAATTACGATACTTTTTGGTTGTCAAACTGAATATGGAAAAGGTAAATGGAAACGAGCATTTCTATTAACCTTAATTGCTGGTATTCTTCAATTTTTAACCGCAATTTTTGTTATTGGTTGGGTTTGGAGTATCATGACTGGAATAAACTTTATTAAACGTGAGTATCAGTAATTATAATTAATATCTGAATTAACATTATTATTAACAGATAGAGGCTGACAATGAAAGCACACACAACAACCCTTTTCCAATTGTTACTCAACTGTATTCCTCTTCATCTGAATATTAAATCATTTTTTCAGGTTCCAGATCGTTGAGTAAATTATTTTAACCTTTCTCATTATCAGCCTTTTGTTTTGTTTTCAACCTCCGAGATTATTATTCAGGGTCAATTTTCATTCCCAAATCATCTGGTCAACTGTTAAATATTATCCTTGTAATAAATGCTCAACTAACCTAAGTTTATTAATTGATATTGATATTTTTCTTTCTCTTTTATCTTTTGTCTAACAATCCTCAGATTCAACCAAAATGAAGGATCCAAAGTTTGGTTATGGCGATGCTATTTGATTCAATTTTCAATGCCAATGTGATTTACCGAGCCTTTGGATTTCCTTCTCAGATTATTGATTGTTTGATCTACCCAGATGAACCAATCATTTTAACCAAACGATCGATATTTTTGGGTTCAATTCGCAGCTATATTTAAATGCTACCAAGACACCAGGATGATCAAGACCAAGCCAACAATCAAGACTGGGGCTGTTTTTGATAACCAAGACTTTTTTCAAATAAAGTTGGACCAAAATTGATCAATTATGACCCAAGACGTAACCAAAGACTGAATTGAGATTATATCAAGCCTGGACTAAATTATGGTTTACAATTAGACGAAAAATTAACCTTAGTTGTATACCATTGTATTATATTACCAGATTTAACATTAATTTTATTTCAAAGTATGCTAACCGTGAGGAGAGCCTTAAAGACATACACAGAGACACACAACACAATCAAATGATTATTTGATTTACTACTATTAAGCTCAATGAGAACAAATTCATTTGTTTACTGTTGATAAATGAAAATATAAATAATTATTTCTGATCTATTGTTACCTGACATTGATTATAATTTGCATAAAATTTTGTTTTTTTTTTGATCATACAATCATTTATTTTTGATCTGGTTATGACAAAATTATTTTATTCCCGTTTCACGTTGTTAATCATTAAACTTGATAATTAGAGTATAATCAGTTGTAAAAATCTGAGAAAAATAAATACAGAAAATATTATTAAACAGTGAAGATCGTTTTTTGTCGTCTCAATCTTGAGACTCATTTGTTAATCCAATTGTTTGCACGAAATTGATTTCATCTCCAGTTGTTAATACCAACAATAGGGGACTCTTCAACCTTAGCTTTTCTAAAGCATGGAAGACAAATTTAAATTGTCTTAAAATCCTTTCTTAAAAGACCCGATTTAAAGCTGAATCAAAATTATTTCAAACTACTTGACTCCATCCGGATTGAAATTAGATTTATTAGTAGTTTGATCGTAACAATTGAAAAACTGACTTGAAATTGTCAGTCAAATACCATTGAAAAGACCAGAGTCAATGAATCGATATGAGGAAATAAATCAGACCAGAAATATGTTAGTTCATCCAATTGAAGCTGATGATCTGAATTAACTAACAGTAAAACTATTCTCTAATTAATCGTCAATACAAATAAACAAGATTAAAAAAGATTTTGCAACGAAAAATTGAAGACAAGAGACATCTATCGTTGTATTTTTCAACTATAATCAGCTTTTTTTGCGGTTTCTCACCCTTTTTCATTTAAAAATAAAACTCTTACTCTTTGTTTTCACTGTTAATTAGCTTTTATTTAGTGAAAATTCTTAACTTTTGTGTTTATTGAGATATCATTTGTGAGTAAATTTGGTCTGCTTTATATTTGGAATCTGAAATTCATTCGTAAAAATCTGGTAAGTTATGTTAAAATTGTCATCAAAGACCATAGTCCGAACACAAAACTTAAATATGAAGACAATAGAAATCTTATCAACATAATTATACGGTCATAATGTTGATGACTAAAAACTTAAAATCGAAGTGAACAATAGATCCTCATGATTCACCTTCAAACACTTTAATGTTCACCTTGAAATGTGAGAATTCCTTAAAAACGTGCTTTAGAGTCTTGTAAGATTTGTACATTCACTTGTTTTTAACTTGTGGAAACTCTGATGGAATAGTCGTGTTCTGTTATATTGAAATCATCGATATCTTTGATGGTTATTAAGATGTCAAATAACGTTCATTTAAATTATGTTGATACTTGCATTTTATTTTAAAAAAGCAGAAAATTAAAACTAACATGTAAATGTTATGAAATTTTAACATGAATCTTATCATTTCTTTTCTTCTCTTTTTTACCACTAGTGGCGCTCTTGGCTCAGGTGACTTTTTCATGTTTTAGTTTTTTAGTCATTACCCTGTTTTTTGTGCTTTGTGATGGATGATGAGATAGCAAAATGGCGAGCCGAAAGAAGAGCTAATTATCCATCTGCTAAAAAAGATAAAACAGAATCATCCGAACCAGAGAAAGTGAGAAATACGAAACGACGAAATGATAAACATGAGTTGAATTTACATGATAAGGTAAGTCTGATTCATTATTTTGTGACAGTCAATACTTTATGCTATCATCTATCAACATTAAAGTTAACTTTTTTTGTGTTCACAGATGTTTCTTACTGATGTCCATAAAGAAGAGGAACGGATTATTCAATGTTTAAAGTTACTTGTTGAAGAGGATGCAAAAATATGAAAAGAAAATATTCAAACTTGGTGGCTAACAAATATCACTTCAGTTACTTCAAATCAACCCTATTGACATTAATTTGATATCAAATTTTTTCCAAAGTTATCCAAAGTTATTAAAAGCCAAATTACGATGAAGTTGTGTGACAAAAGTGCTTCTCATATGTTATCAATGATTGCCGCAATTTATGGAGTGTTCATTTATGCCATTGCCTTTTCATTGGAAATGTGGTTTATTATAACAACTCCTATTTATAATTATGAAAATTATGACCATTTAAGTGACGAAGAATCAATTCCAGTTTTTGCATTTGTTTTGGCCGCCATATACTTTGTCACTATAGTTGTTTCTTTATTACTTATGCTTGGTATTATAATCAAGTCCATCATGTGTTTAATGTCTTGGCTTGTAACCGTAGCCTTAACTTTTTTACCCGAATGTGGCCTTGTTTTGTATATGAGTATTGAAAAATGGGTAAGTTTCATAACATAAGTTTACTTTTTTATACTCTTTATTAATTTTGTCTATTCTTTTGTTTTATTTAATTAGGGAATTGAATCTCGTAATGGCCAGATTGAACTATGTCTTTTTATAATTAGAGCTATCATGAATGTCTTCTTCATGGTTTGTGTACAAAATTTAATCAGTCAATGGAAGGCAGAGAAACAGGTGAGTAGCTAAAGAGAAATTTAATTTTGTTGCTTTTGGTTTCTCACAGCTTCTAAATTTGTATACATTGCGACCTAGAAAATGGATTATTCGCTCTTCCTCTAATTTGGAATCTTTCAAGTGCAACGCTTAACGCAATTGAAAAGATGTTTGTTTGCAAAGCCTCGGATAAAAATCACTTTTTTTGCGCGGTTAAAATTGCTCACCTGTATCAAAGTTGATTGAGTCATTGAGCCTGTTTGAATTAATTTAGATAACTTGCTCTTATATATTTGACTGTTTTTCAGTAGATTTCATTTATGATAGAAGCTTTTAAATTATTTTGTGTAAAAAACCCTTGACTTTCGGCTCATCGGTACATCACCTCTATCCAAATATTGCTCCATGATAAATGCTCATCTTTTGGAATAAGTTTCTCACAACCAATCCAGCTTAATTTTATTGATTTTTAAGTTAAATTCAATCGTAAAAAACAGAATTGCAAGGTTGAGCAAGGTTGCAAGGTATTTTGCCCATAATTGCCTTTTCGTTTTATTTAACCATTAGTACACAAACAGTTAAACTATTGGCTTAATGTGACATTTCATTTGTTGAGCTTCTAGACATTTTTTGCGTGTTGGAGGTTATCATACAGTATCAAATTCATCTAAAGGTATATTACTAAAATCATTGAACCAACTCATATATATCTTATGAAATCTTTCAAATTATTAGCGAGTCATCCATTCCAATTATATCTTCAACTTGTCACTTCTTTTAAACCCAGGAACAGTGCTAAGTCACCATTATTGACATGAACAAATTTCATCTACCATAGCTATGCATCACAATCATTACAGTCATTTACCCATCATCTCAAGTTACCTACTCATGTAGAGATATAACTGCCGTTGAATATAAAAAACTTAACTCAAACTCTTGATTATTGTTACCTTACTGATTTGAGCTGTTAATAACGACAATAATCATCATCGATTGATTTACTCGTGAAAGTTATTGACCTTACAGCTTTGTCTTGACTCTTGTGATCGGAAATGCTCCAAGTTAAAATTTAAATCTCAATCAATTCAGATACACGCCTGGTTATTAAATCTCAATTTATTTTACTTTATATCAGATGCTAAAATGGTTTGCGCTCAAATTACAATTTAATTGTCACAGACCAATTATAAAATATGCTACTATGGTGATTATGACATGATTATGAGTAAAATTATTAATCCTATCTATTAAGTTGGAAAATAATTTTATTCACTAACAATTGGCAAAATAACCTGATTCGAAGGCTCTTTATTATTTTTTGTTGAACACCTAATTTTCTGACCCCGAGTCTTGTCGTTACAGACCTCATCAGGTTAAAGTAACTGAATTGGTCTCGTCAATATTTAGAGTAACAATTGGTGAAAATGTTTCTATTGATTAACTAGTCACAACTATTCTTTGTCATGACAAAACAACTGGACTAATTTTAATTTCACTTTTCTTTTCCTCTCCACAATAGGTTAGATACCAAATGAATGGTGATGATGGTTAACCTTTTCATTGCGTTTTACTCTCTTTCAAACGATCATTCAACCCATTCATTGTCCACTTCCACTAGATTGATGACAGGATTTTAATAGACACAAATGATATAATAAGTTGGATAGTTTATTGCTAAAATGTTGTCTAAATTCATTTTCTTTACTCTCATCTAGTCATCAACAGTTGATCGCTGTAAGCTTGCAACGTTTGCCGTTCTAAATGGGACAAATTTGTATTTTTGGCAAATACTTTTGTTGAAATAGTCAGATGTCAAATTCTTGTTATTCCAATTCGCTGAGCTCTACTTTCCATCCTTTTTATTTTGTAGTATTCACCTGTTACATTTTTGACACTCTCTCGACCAATTTATCAGCATTGACAATTAGAATTGAAAAATTGAATTTATTGAAAATAGATGTTGGTTAGTAAATTGAAATAATCTTTCCACCTTTTGTTTTGCTGCATTTTCCTCTTGAAATTGTAAAAACCCTTTATTTATTGATGTTAGTTTTTTAATTTATTCATTTGTTCAATCCTGTTTGCCCGGATAAAGCAACTTTTTGTTTCATCATTTAGCATCTACCAACGCCTATTTCAACATTGTTGTTTTTCATTTGATTGTTTCAGACAATTATTATTGCTATTACAATTGGTTCACTTTTCAATAAGATCGATGAGAGATAGACACTTATTATAGATTCATAAGCGCCTACTTATAAACTTATTATTTTAATCATTTTAGATCTCAACTTAGTGAATCACTTTTCTCATTATCCTGGAATCCTTACACCATCATTAGACTCTATTTGTTTTGTGAAATTCAATTTTGTTTTGGGTTGTGAAAGGTTATGGCAAATTTAGCCCTTTTCTGGATACATTTATAATCAATTGAAACTGTCTTTTCATTTTAAGACAGAGTCATCAACAATCAATTGATCTCGTTTCACCTTTCTGATCTCGTTACCTTTTTTATCTCCTTTTATTTCATGGACTGTAAACTATTCGACTATGTTTACAGACAATTAGGCTCCTTTTGTTGCACCTCATAAATTATTACCTTTTTAATGATTTTATCTGTAAAACCATTGAAATGCCTTTTCTTTTCAGCTTTTCATTGTCTATTTTTCAATTCTGAAATATATCTTGTGTTTTGTTGAGTTTTTTGAATCACCAAATTGAATTTAACAGTCATGGGTAGACAAAATCTCGATTCTGATTCCAAGTTTTACTTTCTATTGAAAGTAACATTTTTCAATAAACTACAGAAGCCCGACGACCTATTATCATAATTAATCATCTTAATCAGTCTGTATGACAGTTAGAAAGAGATGATTCAATGATTTTTCATTTCAGATTTAACCATACAAATGAAAAGGAAATTTTACAGCTTCATTTTAATTAGCAATCAATTGAAGGAGCTTGAATAATCCATTGTATTATAACTTTACTTGATTATGTTGTTTGAGTTAACAGACATTTCTTTGAACTCTGCTCTACTTTATATATCATTTTGTTTACAGTTAAAATAATTCAAACTAATCAATCCTTTTGTTTTATTTAAACTCTAATTTAGATCGCATCATATGCCATGAGTATGAGTTCTTACAACTGCAACCCACAAGCTGATCTGTATCCTTTTGTTGATACTAATTCAACCACAATTAATCCTGTTTTCAAATTTAATTCACCATTAAATGGTATTGGAGGAGGACATTTACCATCTAGTGAATTTGATACACAAAATTTTCAAGATTTAGTGAAAACGAGAGGAGATCCGGGACCAACCACTTCTCTTTATGGACAAACATCTTATTCCACTCAAAGTTTGGATAGAAAAAAGATCCTCAAACTACAATCAACTCATTCTTTCAAAGATGAAGTCATCTTAAGACCATTACATCACCACCCATTTGACTATTTAATGAGACCTGGTAGTAATATGGACATGAGATCCAATCAACCCAATGGCCAGCCCTATTATCAATCAAAAACACTACCAAGAGATTTTGGTGATAAAAATTCATCCACCCATTCCATACGAGATGTTGCGCTTTAACTTATAATCATTTCATCAACATTTTTTTAAATTTCACAAACTAAATTTTCGTATTTATAGTCACTTTATACCAAAACTATTTAACTTTTTATCGTTTGAGTCAGTGCCTTGTTATTTTCGACTTGAACTGATGATTCAAGTCAAAGTATCGCTTTAAAGCTGGAGAGATTTCTCTTATAAAAAGTTCAAATAAACCAAATCAATCAATTTATTGATTATTTGCACCTTATCTTCAACTGATTAATCTTATTATCTTTCTTGTAAGCTATTTCCAAAAAATAGCTTCTTTCATTGAAATAATTTTGAACATCGGTGTTAATTTAATTTCAATATTTTATTTTGAGTCTTCACTTAATCTTTTTCGTTTCGCATGATTAGTGAAAGACAGTTTATGAAAAAATCTACAGTTTACTGTGAAAATTATACAACTTCTTGTTTAGAGACGACGTTTAAAGACTTAGGGGTGCATTTCGGAGAAGGAGAGCAAAAAAACATTGATTGTGGCCTAAAGGGAGATCAGAATTGTTACATGGCCAGGAGTTGTATATTGAAATATATAATACGATACAATTTAATAGATTAATAATCTATTCGATCAACTTCATTTCGATGGCTTTGGAATAGGTGTGCATGAGGATGTCATCAAGCTCTGGAAGTAATGATCGAAGGGCTTCATCAAACTTGGCCATGGTTCCTCGGTCAAGAACGAATCGATCAGAGATGGTGTATTTTGGATCAACAGCAATGGCAACCTCTTCATCGACCACAGTGGTTAAATTGAATTGAGATACCTTGAACCATTCTCGGAAAACATCTGGGAACATTAAGAATGAACCGTTAACTTTTGCGTTTGGAATAGTTGCCTGGAAACATCCTTCAGAAATTCTGAGTGGAATGGCATCGAAGAGATGATAATCAACAGTGTAATTGGCTCGAGAATCCAATTTAGGAATGGTGTGAATAAATTTAAGAGTTGGCCCTTTGTTTTCAACCTTGTCAACTCGGAAAGAGGAAAGACCTGAGATTTGGACATTGGATAGAGTTAAAACCAATTTACCAACAACAGGTGATTTTGGGTCACGGTGTTCATTGATGGCTGGACTTTGAAGGAAAAGAGGGTCCAACTTTTTGTGAATTGGTGAATATTGAGCTGGACCAGCTGGTTGACCTTCCTTCTTATCACCTTCCAAATTTGATGATTCTTGGATTAATCGGCGGAATCCTTCGAAAGACATCATAACCAGATCGGTTAATTGTTTGTTTGACACAGGTGTTGATTGGTCATTTGTTTTAACCTCAGGTTCAGATGTAGAAATAACTGAACTGACTAAAAGAAGTGTTACAATTATCGAAGAAATCATTTTGAGACTTTTGTGTATTAACTGGTGAACACCAAATATTACTGAACACAATCAAAACTATCTTTGAGTTCTTCTCAACCAAAACTGATGTCCAAACCTGTGGTTGAATCTCTTTTTATATATTCATTGGTTGTTGGCCCATAACAGCCCAAAATTTCAATCAACTCACTTTTTTACTTCTCCCGTTCACTCACTATCTTCTTCTTACTTTCTCTGTCTCACTTTCTCATTCTGTCAGTGCAATTGTGCCCATTAATCAGAATCTTATTTTACTTTAATCCTCTCCATCAACAAACTTTTTTTTGTTTGTTAACCCACTGCTTTCTGGGTTCCTCTGAGGTCACTTACATAGTCGTCGACCGATAATTTAGCACCAGTTTTCTTCCAATATCTATGCTTAAAACTTGATCCTGTATCAAGGTGAGGCAATCAAAACCACTTTCTCTCTCACACACCCTGGTTAACCAACTCACCCGTCTTATCAATTAATTAACCATTGAACTTTCTAATCCTGTCATTCCTCGTCAGTATTTTCATTAAAATTCAAAGTCATGGTAGATCTCTCCATCCCAGTCTTTCAATTTCACTTGCTTTTCTTCTTTTTTTTCATCATTTTTTATTTCACTTTTCAACTCAAAACTTTCACTCTAAAGTGTGTCTTCTGGTTTGACTGGCTGAATTCATGATCTCTTGTGAGCAAGTGAAATCAAATTAAAGCTCAGTGGATACTATAAATAACATTAAAATAGCTAAAAGTACAAATATAAATTTGACAGATTCAATAAAATGAAGAAGCCCAACAACCAGTTACGTCAGTTGATCTTGTAATCAGTTTAAATCTAAAAAGATAGCAAGGCAGTTGACCCTATGGTGTGAACTCAATCAGAATGAAATCCTGGATAAATGCAACTTTGCAGCTCCGATTTAATCGAATGCAGTCAATTTAAGGGGTCAACTGAACGAAGTCGCAATGAATTAAGTTTCATAATTTGTATCATTACAGCCCATCCTTCAAAATACAGATTGGTGCAAAAAATCACAAAAAACATGAATTACTCAACTGTATTCCACTGATCAAAAGTAATGAAAAAATTGTATTAATTTTAAGTTGAAAAAGAATATTCAATCTATTTAATGGTAAATTTTGACAACAATATGACTTGAAAAACGTTTTGATAAAAAAGTATTTTCTCAGATTTGACAATACATGAAATGCATTAACCAAAAAAGGCAAGTGGAAATCTACAAGTTGGTTATTTATTATAGATAGATGAGATCTTTTGGCCTTTAATATCCATAAATGCGTTAGTAACGATATTATTCATCTTTATCGGAGAAATCTTTAGCGAAATTATTTCCTGTTGAATTTACCACGATTATTTCATCTAAAAAGATAAAAAAAGCTTTGATTAGAGATAAAATTTTTCCAATTTTTTTGCAAATTAAATTCACCTGCAATGATTGAGAACAATTTATTCATTGTATTAGTTTCAGTGGCGACAGAATGGTAAGAAATTCTTCCTTGGACGAACAGACGAGATCTTTAGAAAGAGAAAAAATGTTAAAATGTAAAAGAAGACAAACTTGAAAATGCTATTAAATCTCACCCTTTTTTAACATGCTCCATGCAAGTTCGTCTTAAACTTTGTTTGAAAACTGAAATGCGATGCCAATCGGTCTTCTGAGTATACTCTCCTTCATCATCTGCTTTAACATTAACATTGGTAGCCAAAGAGAAGACAACAACGGGTCTTTCCTCGCTTCCCTTGGGCAATGGATCTGTACCAACACGTCCAAGTAAGAATACTTGATTTAGAGCTAAAAAGAGATAAACATTGGTTCAACGAAAATTCCTAGTACAACTCATACAATATAACATACATTTTTCCGTCGCTAAACTTCTCTGAGGTAAACGAGAAATCTGAAAATAGAAGATAAACAAGTCTGATGAAAAGAGCGGGTCAATGTCGTAAAGAAAATAAAAATGTGCTTACCTGAAGAGGCATGTTTTGAAGTAATCGCAATGGATTGATGACACTTTTGAAAATATGGCCCATATTATTTGACTAAATAACAACAATGTATCGACAAAATTCCAAAGAAATAAAAAAAACAAATAAAAAGGTATTAACGGTTGAAATTAGACATAAACGAGATCAGAAGATATCCTCAAGTTTCATGAGAAAAATGTTACAATGTATCTGAGAATAACTTATTTTCACTATTCTCACTAAAATAATAAAACCAAAACAGTTGGGCGATTAAATTGAATTTAATATTTTTTTCTTTTCCACATCTTTCAACTGATTAATTTCTCGATTTTTGCCAATTGTAAAAGTCATTTAATTAACAATTGTACTCAATCAAATCTATAGCTATAAATAAAGCAGCTTGCAAGATGTCATGAATGCTGTTCAGCACTTATGGTGAAAATTCTTAGATTAGCAATTTATTAGGATATCTTTGCATATAAATGATGATTGAAATTCAGATAATCCATAAAACAAACATTTTATCATCACTATTAAGTGATAATCAAATTTAAAAGAGGATTCTTAAAAAATTATTATTATAACAATATGATCCCTCAAATTGAAGTGAAGTTAGCAGTCGCCCTCTTTCGGTATTTGCAATTTTTTTCAAGTGATTTCTTTGCATTTCGCCCAAGATCATCAAGAAAATGTTAAATAACATTAGGAAACAATTTAATTATGATAAATCAAGATTCTCTTCAATTTGCCCTTAATGCTGTGTCCAATACTGTCCATAATTCAATAAATCGGAAAAATTACAAACAACAATTAAGTGAACTTCAAAAGGTATGATTTGGCCTTTTCTCTCTCTTTTTTTCTTTCCCTCTTTGTTTCTATTGGAACCTTGTCTCTATCATACTCTTTTTTCCTTCGCTTATTTTTTTTATCTTTCAATGTTTTGATTTTACATTTTACTTGATAAATGGAAAAATTTTTCTTTTGTTTACTTGTACCGATTTGTAGATTTAATCCAGTTTCTTCTATTTACTTTAAAGAGAGAAAAGTGACAGCTATTCTGAGTGGGAAATTTGAAAAGGAGTAGATGAAGCGAAATGGAAGTTTGCTATTTTACCGTTTTGTGAACCAGGCTCTTATTTTTTATAATTTCATTAGGTTGTCTTTTCAGATATTTACATGCATTTTTAACTTTCAAGGAATATGTTTGGTTTGAGTTTTGTCAAATATTTTCAGCAAATTGGTTCATTATAGCTGCTTAAATGAATTCCATTGGAAAATTCATAGTCCTCCTAATGTAGACTCACTACCATGAAAATATTTACATTAGACCAGCGTGCAGTGTGTTAAGAAAGTTCGTGAAAGGTGAAAATCTTTCGCTTGTGCACCTTTTTCTTGGTTAAGGTTTAATGTTGCATCTATTTTGATTTACAATTTGTTAAAACCGCTATTTTTTTACTTCAAAATTTCTCTCTTCAACTTCATGAACTTTCTTACTACCTTTAGTAACTGTTTCATCTATCTAATTTTGGTTTCTGTAATTTTTATCCGTCTGAGTTCATCATCCACACTGACTGTTTGTTCATGATCACATAGTCTGATTTTTTTTAAAAATAAACTACTTTCAGCTACTATTTAGCTTACTTTTTCAGCTGATAGTATTATTTGTTCTGTCACTTCAGTCTTCCGTCATTTATCAGCATCGCGAAGAGAAATTTTATTGAAATTTGATTGTAAGGCAAATTGCAAAGCTATTTTTGATCAAAGATGTTGATAAAATGATTTCAATGGTCAACTAACTAAAATTTTCAGCAATTTAAATGTCACCTGTTCTATTAATAAAACCTGGTTACTCCAGGTTACAGATTCTCATTCAGTTCACAGATGTCTCTGTAATCAAAATTATGCGATTTTACTTCGATGTTTCTGGCTCTTTCAACCTTTTATACTTTGCCTTTTTTTCATCTTGCCTTTCTATTTACCTTTCTATTTACTGATAGACTATGGATATTCCTATTTAGGTCACATCTCTCAGAATAAGACGGCTTGATAAATAGCTTTCTTGGCTATTTTCCCAGTAAAACTCTTGGCAATTCATTATGTCTCATTTATTGATCGAATAAGTCTGACAATATAACCTCTGAAAAATAATAGTTGATGAACTTTGACTAGATTGCTTTAGCTTAGACTCTTTGATACATGACTTGACGCATTATGAAATAAAAATGCTTTCAGATTCACGACTATTAGATACAATAATTATCCAACATTATTTGCACTTTTTGTTCAATTGACAGAACTGCATCAAAATCATCTGTCTCATGAATTTCAAATGAATACAAGCTTTCCGGTAACTCAAGCTATTCACCGAGCATTTATTTTCAAACCACTATTTCTCTACAAAAGTCTCAATCTCAAGATTTTACTTTGATTTTTAATGTTTATGCAACATGCTTAATTGATTTACCTTTCCTCTTTATTCATTTAGAGTTATTCGCGGATGATTTATATTTTAGATCAATCCAGTGATACCAGCCTGATTAAATTAGCCTCTGAAAAGGTAAGATTTTTCTTATTACTTCACATTGTGTTTCTTCATTTGATCTTTTACCATCTTTATATTTTGCTTCATTTATTTTCCAAGATTTCCAGCTGTAATAGCTAATTGATTATTCTATTTTTGATCAATCAATCTCATATTTTCTGTTTTTTGCTATTAAATTAAACAGTGACCATTTTGGAGATCCTTTTTAATTTGACGAGAAATTATACTATATTATGGATAAACACAGATGATGCCGATTAGTATTATGCTGATCTTTTACTAGGAATATTATACAAGCTTTGATCTCAACACTGATTGAAATTCACAATCTTTTGAAGTGAAATTTTTATTTAAATATGTGGAACGTGATGTGCGATGTTATGCCAACTATCGCTGAAGATTCAACTTCACAACGCAATCTTTTTGCCGGAGATGAAAACAATTTCGAACAGCTCATGTTTAATATGCTTGATGAAAGAGACAAGCTTGTGGAAACTTTAAGAGCAACTCAAGTTCAGTTAGATGAAACTCGTAATAAATTACATGAAACTGAAAAGGAGAAAGAATCTCTTATCAAACAACTAAATGCCAATCTACCACAAGTAAGGCTATTTTCTAACAATGCTAATTACTTTACTGCAAAAAGTTTTTATCATTCATTAATATTTTTGTTTATCTCTCTAGGAATTCGCTAGTTTAACTAGGGAATTAAATCAAGCCAGAGAACAACTTGAAGAAGCTAACGAAGAAATTTCAGAATTGAAAGCTGAAAGAAATAATACGAGGGTAAGATTTATTGAAAATAACCAACGATAATTGTCAATTGCTGTGACTTTAAATCATTTATTTGACTTATCGCATTTTATCACTTTATTTGTGAACTATTTCTAATTCATCTTATTTTTTTAAATTTAGCTACTTCTCGAGCATTTGGAATGTTTAGTATCCAGACATGAAAGGTCTCTTCGCATGACAGTCGTCAAAAGACAGGCCCAATCTCCTAGTGGTGTGTCTTCCGAGGTTGAAGTGCTAAAAGCTTTAAAGTCTTTGTTCGAGCATCACAAAGCACTAGATGAAAAAGTTAGAGAGAAATTGCGAATTTCATTGGATCGTATCAATCAGCTTGAAGATGAACTCGCTAAATCTCATGATGAAATCGGAAAATTGAAATCCGAGAAAAATAATTCAAAGGAGGACCAAAATGATAAAGTTTCCAATGGACCAGTCAATGAAGAAACTAAGCAAAGTCGGTCAAGCTTAGATGAAAGTGAGATAAATGAGATGAAATCTCTTCTAGAGAAACAATCTTGTGACCTTTTAAAATCTCGCACCCAAATAAGTGATTTGACTAATAAGTTAAAAGAAATGGAAGAAACCATGAAGTTAGCAGAACAACAACAGATACTAATGAAAGAGGAGAACTTGAAACTGAGGGAAACTCTTCGGGAAAATAATGCCCAAAAAGAAGACCAAGAAGAAAGAATATCAACCCTTGAGAAAAGATATCTCAATGCTCAAAGGGAATCCACTTCGTTACATGATCTCAATGAAAAGCTGGAACATGAGTTAGCGAACAAGGACGCTCAACTTAAACTTGCCGAAGAAAGAATAAATGCATTAACTGAGCGATTAGAATTAGCTGAACAAAAATTATCACAATTGGAATTCAATAGAAAACAAGAAGCTTTAATAAAAGAAGCTAAAGAAGAATCTGAGTAAGTTTCTCTATCATATTTTCCTCCAATTTCAAATGCAACATTAAAATTAATGCATTAATTTTATAATTTCACCCTTTAGCTCCGAAGAACAAGAAAGGCAGATGACTATAGAGGAACGAATCACCCGATTGAAACAACAGGTCGAAGAAAAATCAGATGAATTGCTGAGAGCAGGCCAAAGAGAAAAAATGAACAAGGAACACAACCAAAAACTTGAAGCTACTGTTGATAAACTTTTAGCTGAATCTAATGAAAGACTTCAATTGCATTTAAAAGAACGAATTGCTGCCTTAGAAGAAAAAAGCACTTTACAACAAGAATTAGATAGAATCCGTCGTTTGCTTGACGAAACGCAAACTGAGAAAGAAAAAATATTACTTGATTCAGCTAAACTGAGAGCAGAAATGGATTCTATGAGACAAGATGTTCAAAATTATAGAGCTGAATCTATTCAAGTAAGATTTAATTGACAAGATTTAGTAGACTAAATAATTGATGAAATTAATTAATATTTTATGGTTGAATTTTTCTCAGGTCGCTTTGGCTGCAGCAATATCACGGAATCAAAAGAAAAGCGTTCCCAATCTTTATCGGGATAGTGAATGGAATAAAATGGATCATGCATCTAGTATTAATCAATCAAGATTTGATTCTTCGGATACTGATTGTAGTCAGACTGATGGAAACGATAATGACAGTTTATTTGGACCAATTGATAATGTTCTTTTATCTCCATCTGGCCATTCCAGTATGTTTAACACGTTTTCTTATTCTTTAGATATAAAATCTGTAAATTTATTGGTCGTAAAATTTATTAATTTTTCATTTTTAGATGCACAAACTTTAGCCATGATGCTTCAGGAACAACTTGATGTGATTAATAATGAAATTCGTTTGATCCAAGAGGAGAAACAAAGTTCAGAATACAGAGCTGAAGAGTTGGGATCACAACTTGAAAGTCTTGATTCTTCTATGAGTTTACTCTCTCGTGAACGTCCCTATGAACAATCTCATCTTATTGGTATTTCACCGCCCCAAAGTGGTCGTTCATCTCCTAGGTCATCTCGAGTCAGCCCATCTATAGACTATCTATCTATTTATAATCCGGTAATTCAAATTTTTATACTTTATCATGTGTGCAATTTTTCTTTTAACTTTAACATTTTTTACTGCATATTCTTCAAAAGATGAATATTGAGCGAGCCAATTGTCAAAAACTCAATCTTTACTCACAATCTTCTTCTAATCGTCAGAAATTTAATGCTAACACTGCCCAAGTAGTTTTTGTTTAATACGTTTTAAACAAAAATGTCCATTTGTCCATTTTCAAATCTTACTGTCAATTAATACTAATTACTCGTTTCTTCTCAATTAGGAATTCAATGCATCTTGTAACAATGCTAGTCCATCTACTACTAGAGCTATTCGTTTACAACATGAACAACAAGCCCTGAATGAAATTAAACAAGGTCCCAATCCTATTTCCTCTTATGGCATTAATGTTCCTCCTGATATTTTACCTAGGTAAGTGGTTAAAATAATTAAACTTCTATTATAAAAGTTCACAAAATAATATCTCAAAATCTAGGTTTTAAAATTCTATTCAAAACTGTCTTAAATTTTAGTCTTTTATCAATCTCTAGATATAATAATAAATACTGAATTTAACTTTTATGTAACTAATATTTTTCTATTTTTGATGAACTTAGACAAAACCCATCCGACCTTGATGAATATCAACATTATCAAGCCAATCAACCATGTTCAACGACTTCTTCTATGGATTCGTTAAGTAAAAGGTTATATCCACCAAATCATTATCAAGTTGGACAGCAATCCCCGCAACAGCAGCATCCGATGTATCCATATTATGTTTCCTCACCGATTCCTCCTCAAAAAAAGAAAGGAATAAAGTCTACCCTTGTGGGTAAACTATTTAGCAGCTCAAAGAGAGATAAATTAAAATATCAGCAACAATTTTATATGGGCAACTACCCAATCGATTCTAGTGATTACATTACCATGATGGACCCAGGTTCATCACAAAGCCTTGTCGCTTCTGGGGGTGTTCCTCCCTCTCCATCTTTAGGCTCAAAAGATTTTGACCGGCGTACACGCAAGAAAAATGAACTCCTTGCCGAAGCGATTAAAGCAGGAACACCTTTCGCTTTATGGAACGGACCTACAATTGTTGCCTGGCTAGAGGTATTTATAAAAATTAATGTCTAAAATGACTTTGACCCTTTATCTTAACCAATATCAATTCCTTTTAACTTCCATTAATCACTCTTAACCATCTTTTTGTGTAGCTTTGGGTAGGAATGCCTACCTGGTATGTAGCTGCTTGCCGAGCTAACGTGAAATCAGGAGCCATCATGTCTGCACTATCAGATACTGAGATCCAACGTGAAATTGGAATCAGCAATCCATTACATCGTCTTAAACTTAGATTAGCTATTCAAGAAATGGTAGCTTTAACGTCTCCTTCAACCCCTAAAAATATTAACACTAGTCTTGCATTTGGAGAAATGAATCATGAATGGATTGGAAATGAATGGTTTGTGATTAATCCTAACTTGAAACGAGATTTATTTTCTCTTCTTTTTCTTTCTACCAAATTTTTCGCTTCCACTTTTTAATTCTTTTGCTCCCACTTCTCAGGTTACCATCTTTAGGTTTATCTCAATATCGTTCAACATTCATGGAGTGTTTAGTGGACGCTAGAATGTTAGAACATCTAACCAAAAAGGATCTACGTGTTCATCTCAAAATGTTAGATGCATTTCACAGAAATAGCCTTCAATTTGGCATTAATTGTCTAAAAAGGCTTAATTATGATAAAAGAGCTTTAGAAGAAAGGCGTAGAAACTGTGAAAATGATATTATAGGTATAATCTAAATTTATTGTTTCATTCTGATTTCAATTTTAACAATTTAGAAACTTTTTCTATAGATGTTCTTGTTTGGTCCAATGAAAGAGTCATCAAATGGGTTAATAACATTAATTTAAGAGAATATTCCATTAATCTAATCGAGTCTGGTGTCCATGGAGCTCTTATTGCTTTGGATGAAAATTTTGATGCCGCTCAAATGGCCTTATTCCTCCAGATTCCAGTTCAAAATGTACAGGTAGGTTAAATTGACTATTGAAAAATTTTCCAATATAATTCCATCTTTTTAAATTCAAATATTTTTTTATGACTTGCAGACGAGACAAATTCTTGAGAATGAATTCAATGAGCTTTTACTGAAGGGAACTGACCGTCGGCGAAATCAAGTGGGTATAGAATGGAGCCATTGTGTGGATATCAGCTCTAATGGCTATCTTAACAGGTCATAGATAATCCAAGTCCCACACCATCGTCCCGGGCAAGAGATAGACTGGTTTGAGGAGGACGATAAACCGCTGGAAAGAAGAGGACGTTGTAATCATTGTAATTAATCGTGTTTGCCAAGTATGTTTTTAACAGATGTATTAATCACTTTGGTGACTTGTTGGTTTTATAACGGATTCCTTGAATAAATCTTTAAGGGTAAGAATTCAACCAAATTTGTAGCCTTATTATGTTTTTCTCATTTTTTTCTTTTTTTCCAATCATGAAGAATAAATACTCTACAGTGGTTCAGATTCTGAAGACTCCATTTTATCAATAAACCAGGAGAGTGAAAAGAACTTCATTCGTGTTTCGTTCGTAATCTCAAAGTTGCTTTTACTGCATGCGAAGCGTCAGATTAACATCTTGATGAACCTTCACTTATGACAACATTAATAAATTTGACTCAAATTCAGTCTGTAATATTCTCGAGAAGTTGCTGCAGAAGGTTCGTAGGAATCATCTGAAGAAGTCGGGTTGCATTTAAAATGATCGAATTGAATCTTGGAACACTCGAATTACATAAGGTTCATTCAGCATGCAACATTCCGAGCTATCTGAGCTTTGCATGAGCTCTGAAGTACATAGTAAAGACAGTGGAGCAAATATAATGGACTCAGATCACATTAATGCATTGGACATGGCACTCACAATTTGATGGCTGTTGGTAGCTTAAAGAAAGGGGACAATCTAATGCAATTATTTGAAAGAATGTTGGAATCTACACAGCGCTTCGATTCAAGAATTTGAGTCAAAATGAATTAAGTTTCATAATTCTGGATCATTTCAGCCAGAATCGATCCTTCAAAATACAGATTGATGCAAACAAAATTTCACAAAACATGAATTACTCAATTGTATTCCACTAGTCAAAAGTAATGAAAAAATTGTAATAATTTTAAGTTCAAATAGAATATTCAATCTATTTAATGATAAATTTTGACAACAATATGACTTGAAAAACGTTTTTATAAAAGATTTGAACAGATTTTATAATATACATTGTAATATAATGTATTAACCAAACAAGTTATAATCCATCTTTACCATAAGAATCTTCAACAGCAAATATTTTCTTATGAAGTCATCATGGAGCACAGTTTATTCATGATACTTGTTTCGGTGGAGACAGAATGGTAAGAGCTTGGGCCGATTTCATTAAGTTTAAGATTATCGGGTAAAACCTTTTTTCATCCAAACGAATTACAGTAAACCCTCTCTAATTGTCACAGAGTCATGAAGCCTCTAATTAGTTAGTTCAACACTAATCGCTGTCGATGATGCATAGACTCGTCGCTAGCTGAATTTGATTTCAAAAATATTTTAAGATTTGTTAAACTCTAATGTTTCAGTCTTTTGTACCGTTTTCAATCAAAAGGAATGATTGGAAATAAAGGAATAAATGGGAAAACTTTGACTTTCAAGTTAAGGTACTCTTAACTGGCTGGTCTGCAAGAGCATTAAAATGGAGTCAATTTCAGCATTCGTTTCTATTTAACATCATTTCGAATAACGAATGAACCATTCCCCGAAGACTCATGCTTTGGTTACGGAATGTTTTCATTTGAACATTCCTCTGTAAATATGTTAAAAGTAATAATAATAATAAAAATAAAAAAGATACAACAAAATTCCTTTCAGTTATTTCAGTTTCGTAGCTTTAACTGAATAGTTCAAAATTTACAATAAAAAACGTTTATTCTCTTATTAGAAATGAAAATTTACATGCGAAAGAGTTAAAAAGATATAAAAAATTTAACAGTTGAGCAAAAATGAAACTGTTATGAACTTTGATGACTTATATTAATAAGTAGAGTTTACTTTTGTCTTTGCCAGCTCTTTGTTTACTATTGGTCCTTAACTGGTTTGAACGCCACATCATCTTTTAATTTTACCAATAATCAGTATTGAATTTTATTTCTTTTTGTGGTGAATCGATTCTGATGGATATTTCACTCTTTTCACTGTCTTAGATTAATAAACTGATTAACTTCTTCAACTACTGAATTTTCAATGATAACGTTTTGAATAGGAGCATCATTTTGCGCATTTGTTTGTAGCCTTTCAATAGCTCTAACAATGTCCATACCAGCAATTACTTTACCAAAGACTGTATGTTTATTATCTAACCAACGAGCAGGTACCGTGGTGATGAAGAATTGACTTCCATTGGTATCTTTACCAGCGTTGGCCATGGATAACATACCAGGTTCCTTATGTTGAACAAGGAAATTTTCATCTGGGAACGTTCTTCCATAGATAGACAATCCTCCGGTTCCATCATGATTGGTAACATCTCCTCCTTGAATCATAAAGTTGGCAATTACTCGATGGAATCTGGATCCTCTGTAACCATAACCATTGTGACCTCTGCCAGCAAAGGTAACAAAATTTTTGACCGTCTTGGGAGCAACATCACCAAATAATCCTAATGTTATGGTTCCTGCTGATCTGCCACCAATGGAAACATCAAACTTAACTTTATGTGTTATCTTCACTGCTAAACTATCCGCTAATTGGGACCATTGGAGGCTACAAAGAACCAGGGAACAAAAAGCAATTCTTCCAATCATTTATTTAAATTTAACTAATAACAATGTTGCTGTAATATTTTGGATGACACGTTGATGGATTTACTTTTGGCACTTATTTTATGTTGATCATTTTAGTACATTCTTTTTTCTGTAACAAGACATACGCTTAGACCTAACCAAATTCAAGAATGATGACAATGAGCTAAGGGAACAGCCTATTTGTAGCCTGAAAACTGGTCTTATTTTAGTGATCCAACAAAGAAAGGTAATGATCAAAAAGATGGAGAAGGTGTTTGAGTGTGTATATAACGGGATCTGGTTCTTTTTACATCCCAACCCAGGTCAAGCTCAATAATACCTGAGAAGCTAAAGTAGGATAAGAAGAAATGAAGAAGAAGCACATGATGATGATGATGACGATGATGATGGGATTAGTTGAGGCAACAACCTTTAAAAAATTATCTTAATAAAGTAAAGGTTTAGAAACAGAATTTTCACCTATTTTTGAATCATGAACAACACCTTCTTTCTGTTTATAAATTATCCGATTCAGTAAAAACATTAAGAATAAAGTTTATCATCCTTTAATCTCAACAACCACCCAGATATGACCATTAGGATTACTTTAATCATTAATTATTGATCAATTTTTACTTCACCCAGTTGTTTGAACACAATGTCAACACAAAATAAACAAACTCGAATAACGTATTAGGTTGATCAGAGCAAAATGTCCGTTTTTTGATTGGATACCATCTAAGGATTAATTGCTCAATGTCTTTAAGTTTGAACTTTTTTTTGTACAATTTTGATTTCTCTTGCCAATGAATTACTGATTTTGAGAAAAGAAGCAATGATTTGTAAAAATCAAGCAACTCAATTTTTGAGCCAAAGGTGGTCAGAATCTCGAATTTTCCAGTCCAACTTCATTATGCGACAATATTTATCTAATAGAGCTGAGCAAATTTTAGAACTAAAAAGTAAGTTTAACCTTACACTATTAAAGAAAAACTACTCTAATTTAAATTCTATCACTAGAATGGTCAATAATATCGACCAGGAGCAATGAAGGTGTTTGCTTTGACCATGAAATGCAGAAAAAAGCATTCAAATGATGCTTGTAAACCCCTTAACCTATGCTGCAACACTTCGCCATAAAACTGCTGTAGACCAGAAAACAGTGGCATCGTAAACGGCATTACGAAACCAAGATACATGCTGATGCTTAGAGTGAGGCACAAAAGAAACAGTGTTCCTAAAATAAAAGATCAGCCAATTATGATGCTTAGTCAGCAAATCGTCCACTAGAAAACCGGAAATTTAGATATCTTTTAAACGTCCTTTCAAGTCCTTTCGTTTCCTTATCCCTTTGATATGAAAATTTAATTCATAGAGAAGTCCGATGACTCATTATCTTTTTATATTAAATCAACACAGTTATAAAATATGATTCATTTGATAATAAATAACGATAAAATTTTGATTAAAAATTTCGAGTCAAAGCTATTTTCCGTTAAAATTGTACAAATAGGAAAACGGCTAATCATACGACATGAAACATGACTGGTATATTATTTTTTATAATGATACTATCCCTCCCTTATGGAGTTATAGACTTATGAGTCGCCCTCTTTCGGAGTTTCAAATTTTATCAAAAGACAAGTAGATTCTCCAAATTTCGCCCAAGATCATCAAGAAAATGTTAAATAACATTAGGAAACAATTTAATTATGATGAATCAAGATTCTCTTCAATTTGCCCTTAATGCTGTGTCCAATATTGTCCATAATTCAATAAATCGGAAAAATTACAAACAACAATTAAGTGAACTTCAAAAGGTATGATTTGGCCTTTTCTCTCTCTTTTTTTCTTTCCCTCTTTGTTTCTATTGGAACCTTGTCTCTATCATACTCTTTTTTTCCTTTCCTTGTATTTTTGGCCTAAGTTACCAACTACATTTGTACTGTTTTTTAAACACATTTTCACCTTATTTCTTTTTCCTGCCTCTCTTTCTCTTTCTTTCTTTAGTCTCTTTCTTTTCTTTCTTTTTTACACTCAACTGCTACATCTTCTTTCTTGTATCCAATGGTTCACCCTTTTTATTTAATCAACTCAGCATTTAGTTTTCAGTTTTTATAAGCTAATCATTTTGTTTAAAATTAAATTTTCAACACTGCCCATGGCTTTTGTCTTGAAGGGCAAAAAAGTCATCGGACATTAAACAAATGAAGATAGGTGAAAAAGAGAAAAAGATTCAATGTATATTTCTAACCCCCCTCTTTCTTTTTTACTTTCTTTTTCCATTTCTTCTCTGTCTTCCTAATTTTTTTTCTCTTTCTCTTTTGCAGAAAGATCATAGTCTCTTTCTTCCTTTCATTGCTCTTCTTCCTCTTTTCTTTCTACATTTTCAATCAAATCTCTTTCTTCTTCCGTTCTTTGTGTGTATATGTGTATTAGCCTGAATATTAACTAATTGACTTTATCTTGATTGTTAATTTAACTAAAATTGTAGATTAACTTTACTGTGCAAACGTGACCATGTTCTTCAACACTGTAATTTCTATATTTTGTTAATACATTATCTCACCTTCTCTTTATCTTTCCTTCCATTTCTTTTTTTTACATTTCAACAGTTTGTTAATAAATTTGGATTTGAATGTGAAAGACATCTCTATCGTTGTATATTCGATTCATTGTTGGCAACCCAGCACACCGATACTCTTAAAAATTCGATCCTTTGTCAACTCTTCTCGGATCTTGGTTCATTTTTTGAGAAGCCTAATTTTTCAACTCTAATCAGATTTTCTTTTAATAAAGGCCCTTTTAAAAATAAAATCAGTGACAGTAGCAATACTGAAAGCAACACCGCTGACTGTTCATCAGTTGGAAACTCCTTAAACGGAGCTAGTAACAACAATCGTTCCCAGGAATCTTCTGGAGCTGCTGGTGTTACTCAGAATAACTCAAGTGATCTAAGTGTTGTTAACAAAGTCCGAGAGCTTTGTAAATGCTTGAAATTGAACGATACACATAAATTAGCCTTGCTCTTGTGTTTAGATGAACTTGATTCAGCTGAACGAGAAGTTCAATTGAGCAAGTGTGATTTCATCAGTATCCCAGAGTTAACATATTTTATGTTATCGCAATTGCATTCAAGCAAAGAGCCTTTTGCCAAAGAAAGTATAGAAAAAATTAAAGAAGGTAGGTTGCTGCTTTCATATTCAATAACCTTTCTCTGTTCCATTTGCGAAATTTCATCATCTGATCTACAAAACCTCACCCTTGTTGGATCTTTTTTCTTTCATATTGTCTTTTTATTTCAATTTTTAATCTTAATTCCTTTCTTTTGTTTATTCTTTTCCCTCCTTGGAATATCATGTTGACGATCACTTATTTCAATAGACTTGGAAGCTAGTGGAAATCATATTTCTAAAGATAAATTTCTACCTATAGATTCTCCATTCTGTGATAGTGTTGAGATGGAGTCCAATTCTTTTGGTAATCTTTCTGGTCTCTCAGATGACCAAATAACCAATATGCTGGTCAATGAAAACGATGTCCAATTAAGTTCAGAGCTGATGAGTCAATTTGATATTACACCTAAACTTTGCGCCAAGATTTTGTTAGCACTGTGTGAACATCCCAAAGGCCAAGATAACAATCTACCCCAAAGGTTTGAGGAAATTGACACTCTAGCAAATTTGTGTCGCGAGTTTCTACCTTCAGCCTCACCCTTAATGGACATCCTTCAAGAAATAGACTCTGAAACATTTGTAAACATAAGTAGCAAAATGATCAATAATAAGCATTTTGGGAAAATACATCCAGTTTTCTCCAGATTCTGGCAATTTTGTTCCAATCTTTGCAATACCGAAAAACAAGGTTTGTGTTTCACATTTATTTTTTATTTTATATTTTTCCATAATATATTAATCAATTTCTTTTTACAGGTATCTCTCTTTTAGGAATGATCTTCTTCGGTAGACTTTGGTCCAATAACCTCGAATTCCAGTTAGGAGTTATCATGAACTGTGTTAGAAATCAACTAGTGGTTAAATTACTGTCAGCTGGTCCCACAGGTCCAGGTCCAGGCGGTGGTAATGATCTAAGTCAATTGGTACCTAACTTGGAATCTCTCAAGTGTCTACCCGACTTTGAAGGCAACCCCGAGCTTTCAAATTGGAAATACCAAAAACTCTATTCGATCATTATTGAAATAAGTGCTGCCAACTCCTCAAATAAACAGTCGGTTACTATGGGTTCCATGTTTTATAATCAAATCATCGACCTGTTTAAATGGCCAATTCATCATTGTCCTGACCTAGTAGCCCTTGGTTTGCTTGGATGTGGAAGTGTCTCATCCATTTGTAAAAATGATATTCTTAACATGACAATTCCATCCTTCCTCAGCAACCATCCAAACGCCGCCATAATTTTGCACACCATTTGGAGTACAAATGATTTGATTGGCAATGTTCAAAACAATTGTCAGTGGGCTAAGCAAGTACTTCTTCAATCCATGTGCGAGTTTTACATGAAAAGTCCACCTGAAGAACAACAACAACGATTGTCTAGAATTTTGGATGTGGCTCAAGATCTTAAAGCACTTAGTCTATTGCTTAATAGCAATTGCCATCCTTTCGTAATTGACTTGGCTTGCCTAGCATCTAGAAGAGAGTACCTCAAATTAGATAAATGGTTAATGGACAAAATTGAATCACACGGTGAACCATTTGTGAAAGCCTGTATAGTGTTCCTAAATCGTCGTTGCAATGCACTCGTCAGTGGTAATAAAACATTGGATGTTAACTCATTAAACTCAGCTTTACCATCTGAAACTCTCGCCACAATTTTGGCCTGCTTACAGCAGTTTATCTGTAATTCCGCTAGCTCAGTGACACCTACCTCGCTCTCACAACAATTTCCTGTATCACCAGAACTTAGCGAAACGATTCTGACCATGGTAGCAAACTCTTCATACCTTTTATCGAAAACTCCCCGATCAGCACCTCCCGGTGTAATTAGTAACAATGTCAAGACTCCAATTCTTCCCACTGTGACTTCACTTAGTGACCTTAACGATCGAATCGGTAGTCTGACATTAACTGGCTCTGCCAACTCATTCAGTCAGTCTCGACAACCATTTATTACACCATCATCCCAGTCATCAATAACTCCAATAGCATCTACAACATCCATAATGACTCCTCAAATGCAACCACCTGTTGGTCCTAAATCTCAAAAATCCGGACAGCCTCAGGTAACTAATCAATCGATTCTTGAATCTGAACCTATTTTATCGTTGTCTTCTTTAATTATCTCACTCCAGGCATCTTTGCAGCCTCATCAACAAGCTTCTCAACAACAACAGTCTCAAAGAGGTTATGTCTTCAATGTAAATGCCATTTTTCCTGAAACTCAGATGGTTGTCAATCCAGAAATTGAGAAAGAAGCTGATACCTATTTCCAAAGGATCTACAATCAGTCAACTACTGGAAGTATGAGTATCGATGATGTTCTGGAAATGCTGAGGAGATTCCAAGACTCACCTAATAAACGTGAAAGGGATATATTCAACTGTATGATAAAAAATCTGTTCAAAGAATACTGCTATTTCCCTCAATATCCGGACAAAGAGCTTCTCATTACCGCACAACTATTCGGTGGTATAATTCAAATGGGCTTAGTTAAATACATGGCTTTAGTTGTTGCCTTAAGATGCGTGCTTGAAGCCCTTCGTCAACCTTACAGTAGCAAGATGTACTTTTTTGGTATTGCTGCTTTAGATAGGTTTAAATCAAAGCTTAAAGAGTATCCTCTCTATTGTCAACATTTAACTTCGATACCTCATTTCAATGAATTTCCTCGTCCTCTTCAAGAGTATATCCAATATGGTGCTTCATCTGAAGATCCGCCCTCTGCTCGATCTCTTCCTGATGTTGTAGCTAATCCTGCTGTGTCAGCTCACTCTCCTGCTCCTGGTCAATTGAATTCCGCTCTACCGGGTCTCATAGGCTCCTATATTGGTAACAATATTAATTCCGAATCAAACCGCCCCGTTATGATGATGTCTGGTATGCTTAACAATTCAAACAACATTAGTAACATTGGCTCTCAAGGAATAACTGGCCCCATTGGTGGACAGTTATCTCAAGTTCCATCTAAAATATTCTCAACCTCTATGTCAAGTCAGGCTTTAATCAATAAACCAATAACCTCAACTCCGGTCATTACTACATCATCAACAACACGAAGTGGACCTTCAATTGCAAATGCAACTAACATAGATACTTTATTAGCTGCTGGTGAAACAATTCATTCTATTCCTCCAGAATCAATGCAAGATAAGGTTGGTTTCATAATCAATAACCTTTCTCAGATGAACTTAGCACAAAAGACTGAAGAATTCAAAGAATTAATCGGGACCGACGACACTTATCATGGTTGGATTGCTCAATATTTTGTCCAAAGACGAGCTAGTATTGAGAATAACTTCCATACCTTATATGCCAACTTTTTAGAGCTGCTTAAACTACCAGAATTGACTAAATTGGTTATTAGAGAAACTTATCGAAATATCAAAGTTCTATTGCGAAGTGATAAAGTCATTGCTAACATGGGTGATCGAACCTTGCTGAAGAATCTTGGCCATTGGTTAGGAATGTTGACTTTGGCTAAAAATAAGCCTATCTTATCCATCGATTTGAATCTTAAATTTTTGCTTATCGAAGCTTATCACAAAGGCACACAAGAGCTACTTTATGTTGTTCCATTCATCGCAAAAGTATTGGAAAGCTGTGCTAAATCTACTGTATTCAAACCACCTAGTCCTTGGACTATGGGTATACTTAAAGCTCTTGTTGAGCTTCACCAAGAAAGAGAAGTCAAATTGAACTTGCGATTCGAAGTGGAAGTCCTCTGTCGAACCCTTAATGTTGACATAAATGAATTGGTTGGTAAAACTACAATCCTCCAAGAAGAAGATATTATGAATAAAGTAATGATGGAGCAGCAGTTAGGAACTGCTGGAGGACGTCAACATCAAAGTCACATTAGTTCCATCGGCTTGAATCAAGCAAATGACACTCTGTCTAATTCAGTTCAAAATCAAATGCATATTGCTCAATCTCAATCTTCTCAAGGTTCAGTTTCGGTTCAACAGTCTATTTCAAGCCAACCTCCAATATCTCATTCAAGCCAAATTATCAAGCCACCGCTGACTCAACCGCAATCTCATTTACCTAATCGTTTATCCATGTCTATGTTATCACAGCCATTAGTTGTTGGACAACAGTCAGCAACGCATTCATTACTTCAACCAAATTCATCACCCACCGTTCAAATTGGGCCTATTCATATGCCACCTACTGCTTCAATACCAATGACACCAACTTCATCAGTCAGTCCGGCTGTCCAACAGTTCAACTATCACGATATCTCAACAAATATTTCAGCTATCGGACCTCATATTGTAACACGTAACGACCTTCCTCTAATTCAGCTTAATCCGAATCTCAAGATTTTCATTAAGCTCTCAGTGGAAAGATCCATTCAAGAATGGGTAGGACCAGTTGTTGAAAGAAGTAACAAAATAAGCTTGACAACAGCTGAACAAATAATCAAAAAAGATTTTGCTCTCGAATCAGATGAAAACAAAATGTGTCTTGCTGCTCAGTATCTTATCCGTAATCTTACAGCTGGCATGGCTATGATTACGAGTAAAGATGCCCTTTACGGTACTATGGTCACTCATCTTGTACAAGCTTTCACTCGCCAATTGGGACCGAACAGTGGAGTAACTAAAGAAATGATTGAAGAATCAGCTAATGCAATAGCTAGTAGCAATATCAACCTTGCTTGCTGTTTCATTCAAAAGACTGCAATTGAAAAGGCCATTCCAGAACTGGATAAAAGACTCCAACATGAATATGATATTCGGCGTAAAGCTAGACTTGAGGGTCGTCGATATTGTGATGCAAGTTCATTAACTTATCAAGCTGAACGAATGCCTGAAGCTATTCGTCTAAAAGTAGGCTCAGTAACTCCTCTTCAATTCCAAGTTTATGAAGATATAGGTAAAAATATCCCAGGATTTATTTCACCTATTGTGGATCATTCTAACATGGGCATAGCTTCATCAATGAACAACTCTCTTCCAAATATTGGTGGATCTATTGGATCCACTGGACCTAGTCTAACTAACTCTATTGGAATGGATCAACCATTTTTGAAAAGTCTCACAAGCAATGTATTACCAACAGTAGCTGCCATGTCCAACTCAATCTCTGCTAATATCAATGTTCAACCACCTTTGTTTTCTCAACAACTTTCGGGCTTCGGACCTGAAAACTCTTCCAATAGCATTGATACTGGCTTACAAACCCTTTATGATAAATTAGTCAATGAATTGGATTCTCTATTCCAACAATTCGTTGCATCGATGCAACCTAGTATGCTTATAACTACCATGCACTCAATATTGGAAATGGTCAGTGCTTCAAGAAACAATCCAAGCAACATTGGAAGTGCCGTTAATTTAATCCAAAGAATTTTAGAAGCTCTCGCTGAATTGATAATTAGTGTTGAATCTGGAGTCGTTGAAGTTCTACTCCTTACTCGAGCTCGTGACCTTTATTTGGTGATTCTAAAGGCTCTATCAGATCCTAGAGCTTATGGCGCTCAATTTACCACCAAACAAATCACTCGACAAGTTTTGGATCGCCTTCTCAGCTCTTCCACTCCACCTTTACCGGATGATTTATTTGATATACTTATGCGGTCAGAGTTGATTAATATCTCATATGTTGACGCTACTTTAGCCCAGCAGATTGACGGTGCAAACCCAATCGCATTGGCATTCGCACTACAATTCGTGAAACTTTATGGTATGGACCTCAGTGAAACACAAATTCCTAACATCATTGCAGCTTTACTGAAGATCAGCAAATCATCTGGTCCTACCAATCCTCTAAATCTCGAGATTCAAACTAGCTTGGATGTTTTCCGAACATCAAATGCACCATCAGCTCTGAATCCTTCAGATGGATCCAATTTCTTGATGAGCTCAGCAATGAGCGTTGCCTCTCGTGAAGTTGAATCAGACTCTGAATTATTGGAAAAGACCGAAAGATTGATGAGAGATTGGATTAATTTATATCATTCTAATACTCCACCCAACAAAGTTTTTCACATCTATGTACAATCAATGAACCAACATGGTATTCTCAAAACAGATGATTCCATTACACGATTTTTCCGACTTTCAACTGAGCTTTGTGTAGACAACTGTTACAGAATCTTAAATGGTCAGCATGCTAATAATGCATCTGTCTTGGAAGCTCGTACTAAATGTTTCCAAACACTTGACGCGTTTGCACACCTCATTGTGATGCTTGTTAAACATAGCGGCTCAAACACTGGATCTATGTCCGAATCAACTCCAAAGATCAATTTACTGAACAAAGTTTTGGGTATAATTGGAGGTGTTGCAATTCATGACCAAGAAATCCGAAATGAAGAGTTTCAACATCTTCCTTATTATCGTATCTTGATTATTCTGCTGATGGAATTGACTCTCGGTCCAAACAACTTAGGTTTACCTGCTATGAACAACTTCCAGCATCAATTAGGATTTGGTATCAATCCAAGTCAAGTTGACCCCCTTTACGAAAGTATTCAATACCAAGTTCTCAATGCTTTCTGTCAAACTTTGAAGCTTCTTAAACCGAGTAAAGCACCTTCTTTTGCATTTGCCTGGCTTGATTTCATTGGACATCGCATTTTCATGGAAAAGTGTCTTAACGGACCAAATTCAACTCCGAGCATTATCTCAACTAAAGGATGGATATTTTATGCACCTCTATTGATTGAGATAATCAAATTCTTGGCTCCATTCTTAAGAAATGTTGAATTGCCTCATTCAATCGATCTTCTTTACAAGGTAAGCGTTGATTTCATTATTCATTATTCATTATTATTTTATTACATTTCTTATATTCTCTTCTAATACCTGTAATTTCATCTTATAGGGTACACTCAAAGTTCTACTCATCTTGCTTCATGATTTCCCTGAATTCCTGTGTGAGTATTGTTATGAGCTTTGTGATGCTATTCCACCCAATGCAATTCAAATGAGAAATCTGGTTCTCAGCGCTTTCCCTCGTAATATGCGATTGCCTGATCCATTCACACCAAATCTCAAGATTGACTCACTTCCAGAGATTATCCAATCTCCTAAAGGAGCATCAAACACTTTATCTGCTCTAGCAACTGTACCATTCAGAAAAGAACTTGATTCTTACTTGAGAACACGAAGTCCTGTCACTTTCCTATGTGAACTCAGAGGTTATCTTCAAAATCCTAATGGTTCTGATGGTAATCGCTACAACATACCATTGATTAATGCTTTGGTTCTCTTTGTCGGTCAATCTGCTATTCAAGCCATTACTCCAAAACACATATCCATGTCTAGCATTGCTCATTCATCACATATGGATATTTTCCAGAATTTAGCTGTAGATTTGGACACTGAAGGTAATTTATTAGTAAACTTTTAGTTATCAATTCAAAGCTAACTTTCCTTTTCCTTTGTTTACAGGTCGATATTTATTCCTTAATGCGATAGCTAATCAGTTACGATATCCTAACTCACATACACACTACTTTAGCTGTACTCTTCTTTACATCTTTGCGGAGAGTAATACTGAAGCCATTCAGGAGCAAATTACTCGAGTTCTTTTGGAGAGACTCATCGTAAATCGTCCACATCCATGGGGTCTTTTGGTAACCTTTATTGAACTAATTAAAAACCAATCATTTAAATTTTGGAATCACGAGTTTGTTCGGTGTGCACCTGAAATTGAAAAGTAAGTTTGAATTAAGCTAACTTTATCCAAAATATAGAATCTAATTTCATTTTATCTTGCCTTTTATCTTATTCAGATTATTCGAATCTGTTGCTCGAAGCTGTATGCAGCAACAACAAAAAAATCAAGGCACCGGCAACTCTGGTCAAATTTCTGCGGAGCTTGTTCGCTCACAATCATCATAATAAATATTGTCGCTACGGGGAGTTATGACGCTACAAAATGAAAAATAAAGACAAATTTACATAGTTGATTTTGAGGAGAGCAAGAAACTGTACTTATATTAAAACTGATCTAACAATTTGTATTTTAATGTTACTATTACCGTTTCGCTATCGATTAATAAATGTTATTTTTAAATTGCATTCAATCCCCTGCTTTCTAAGCTTTTATTCAATCAATAGTGTTCAAATATCGTTTATCAATGAAACTAACGAAGTATACATAGGAACGATTGTTCCGTCAAATTTGGTGAACTATTGATTTCAATTCATAGATAATATGAACACAATAATCAGGCTCATTTGAAATATTAATTTGATGTTATCAAGTTACCAAGTTTTCAAGGTTAAGAGTTTATTTATTTAAACTGATTTAAGACCTTTTCCTTCAATAATTATAACCACTATTTTCAACTTTTTTAATTTCTATATAAAGGATGAGTAAAATTATTTGTGATTCTGAATCACAGATTGAACGCTTATTTTTTAAATCTTGATTCATTTTTGACATTTGAATGCTTCTCCATATCGATAGGTAAATAAAAAAGTCGATAGTATCGTTCATCATTACTTTTCTTACACAAGCTGACATGTACGTAATGTTGTATTTTAAAAGTCATATGTAAACGTGGAATTTAGTATTAGTTTTGATTGTGGCAGTTTTATCGTTCTTATTATTTAATTATGGGTTTTGTTAATTCAAAAGAAGCCACCCTGGCTTTTCTTTCTTTAATATATCCAATTTTAATGATCGGAGCTGTTGAATTGACATTTGAGCTGCCAGACAATGCTAAGCAATGTTTTCATGAAGATATTACACAAGGAACTAAGTCTACAGTTGAGTTTCAGGTAAGATTTTTATTGCTTCTATTTTTGAATGATTCACTTATTGCTTTGCTGTGCAATATTTTCTTTGCAATTATATTATTCATGCTATAACATTCACTGTTAATTTTCAAACGCTATTTATATGATTTTAATCTGAGACTTTACAAATTATTTTATTTGCCTTGAATAGGTTGTTACCGGTGGACAATATGATGTTGACATGACTTTAACAGGACCCAGGGATGAAGTTCTTTACCAAGGAGTTAAAAAGCAATTTGATACGTTTACATGGACTCCTCAACACACAGGAGTTTATACTATCTGTTTTAGCAATGAATTTTCTACGTTTAGTCATAAATTAGTTTATTTTGATTTTCAAGTTGGAGAGGAACCTCCTCTTCCAGGCACTGGTGAACACCAAACAGCATTAACAAAAGTAAGTTTGCTTTTTTATATCCGTTTTTAGTCATTAGCTGCCACCATAAAACTAATACTTCTATCCTTGTTCTATCTCAATAGATGGAAACGTCAACTGTAAATATTCACAACAATCTCAACACAATAATCGATGCTCAAACTCATTATCGTTTAAATGAGGCTAAAGGAAGCAAGAGAGCTGTAGATCTGAAAAATCGTGTCACTTATTGGTCCACAGCTGAAACTTTCCTTGTTTTCGTCATTGGTATTGGCCAAGTGATGATTTTGAAAAATTTCTTCACCGACAAAAAATCTAACACACCATATTGAATATACTAGCATTTAAGAAGTCACCATTTATTTTGAAACAGCACTGAATCCATATAACTGTGAATCAATCCAAATAAATCTAAAGTATAAAAACTTTTATTACTCACAAATTCACTTTTCCTTTTTTACAATCTCAAATGGAATTAACTTTAATAACTTTTCAAGCTTGATTCAGCTTTTGCAGAGACTTACTTATGATTTACAGGATAACAATCGATTGACAATAAGCACAATTATAAATAAATAATTTTAAATAGCCAATACATAAAGATTCAACATAATTAATGCCCTGATCAGAAACTCGTGAAATTGAAAAATTATTAATATCCTGTTAGCCGAAAAGTCAAACACACGACCAGTTTATGCCTAATCGCATTTTTTCCTCTGCATTTGTCATTCACAGATTTTCTTAAGTGAAAGTTTTATAATAAATTGCTGTTTTACAGAGTCATGCGACGTTTTTTCACCACTTTTAGCTACAGAACCACTCACGAAATCAGAACTGAATTAACAAATCATTTCAATTGAATTTACCTCTTTTTTGATTAAATGTAACCAGAGATAGCTGGAAGAAATAAGCAAAGTGCTGCAAAAAGATGTTCGCGTTAATGTAACTTATTAGGTCATTATTATGTCACTTATTCACTTTATACTCTAATCCATTTTCATTAACATGATCTTTTGGCTTTTATAGATCCAATTTGATAATGAATCTTGGTTGATATTCAAAAGTATCAGAATGATATTTAGCATATCAGATGGAATCAACAATAACAGTAAAAATAGAAATGTAATTTGCACGATTATTGACAGAGCTCTATCAAAGGCTGAATATCGACATCATCAGATACATTTGAGCCATCCGTATCAGCTGATGTAATTTCAATGCAAAGTTTGCCAGATTTGGCATTAACCAAATCTTCACAGCTATCCATTGAATCACCTTCAATATCCATGGGTTCTTTAATAACATTATTATATGGATCATCTGATTGATCATCTGGAGGAAAATCTACCTTAGGTTCATTGGAATGTGATGTGTCGAAAGTATCCAAAGTCTCTTGTCTCATTGAGTCAATCTCATTGAAAGCTTTCCTACCAACAGCTTCTTTGCAGCTTATTTTGGACGGCTCCGCTGGAGATTCCTCTTTATCCATTTCTTCAATGATGACCTCTTCTGTTGTTCTGCAAATATTTTTGTTACTAAGTTGAAAATTATTACAATTATTAAAATCTTTACTTAAACCATCATCGCCTGCTGGGTCCTCCTCAATGGCTTCATCATTAGTTTCCTCGTCCTGTGTATCGATTTGTTCATCTGATATCTTCTTTGATTGACTGGTGCCACTTTCAATCTCCATTTCATCAGGCTCGTTGTCCTGTCCAGTTACGGACTCAGAAATTTCACTAACTCCCTGTTTATGAGTCTCTTCTGGCTCGGAATCCATTGAACTAGCTGCGTCAGACAGTTGCTGCATGTTACATTCGGTTTCAATTTTATCTGCTAATGTTTCGATTTGACTCTCAACTGTTTGAGATTTGGAAACCTTGCTCTCTAAAATAGCGATGACACGATCAACATGAGCCAAAGCACTTTTTCGTGCAGATCGAACATCTTCACGGCCATGAGAGTCGATGTTGTCAAGTTTAAGCATACAACGTGTAAGCATTTCATCTAAAAATCTATAATTTTTATCTTGTCCTTCTCCAGCAAACTCCATCACCTCCTTTTCTAGTCTACAGGTTTCTTTTTCAACGTTTCTGACCAAATCAAGTGAATCAAAAGATTCTTTTGTAAAATCACCAACTGGTTTTGATTGACCGGAACCAGCTCGATCTGAAATTTTACTTTTACTTTCACCGGACTGGCTACTTTCAAGATTTATAGGAATATTAACAACATGTGGTCCACCGGATTGTTGAGAGTCTGGAGAATCACGACCAAATCTTGCTTCAGCTGATGCTTTTTGGTCATGAACAGGAACGGTTTGTCTGACTTCTTCATTGTGATTAGGAGAATAAGACATAGGCTCACTAGGCTTGCAATTCTTTTCAAGTTTGACTGGAATTGTGTGCACACGATGGAACTGAGAGTGTTGGGGTTGAGCATAGCTCTGTGCTTCAGGCTTAAAAGAAGGAATAAACTTAGGTTTAGGCGGTGGAGTAGGACTTGGACCAGGACGTTGTCTGCTCTGTTCACCAACTCTTTCTGGAACTGGACTGGAAGATGCAGAGCCGATGGGACCACCACCAGGAGTTGGTGATGCATGATAGCTTTGATTCCGATACTGCGAAGAGCTTGGAGAATGACTGTTGGTTCTTGAAAGAGGAACAACTCCCTCTGCTGTTTCTATCTGAATTGGGATGTTGAAAATCCGAGGTTGATGTGACTCTTGACCGTCGTCAGTTTCATCTCTGTGCCCATGAGAAAAAAAATCTCCATGTCTAGAAGCCAACTACAAAAAAGATAAAAAGATGGATTAAAATTTAAAATTAAAACAAAAACTCAAGATTAAATAATTTACTCACATTCATTGGTGGATGATTAAGAGATGAAAATGTACTATCGGAAAACATCTCGTCTGGATGTTGATTCTTTCTAAATTGGTGAAATTGATTAAATATATCATTCCTAGCAGAGTTGAAAGGACTCGAGGCACCAGAATAAGACGAAGATGATGTTAAAGGAAAGTGTGTAGTAGTCATGTTACCTTGAGTTGTTGTTATTGGAATAGAACGTTCACGCGACTGATTGGATTGATTATCAGGCTCCATTTCGATAAGAATCCGAAATAAGGTGGGCTAACAAGAATAATAAGAAATATACAATTCAGATAAATAATTGGAACAGTTATACAATAATAATATTTAGAAAGACTAATCCGAGTTCAGTGAAAGCAACTTATCAAAAACTGCTGTTCCTCTGTTTCTGCTCTACAAATAGAAGTCTATTTTCACGGCCAGTCGATTGCATTAATAATAACGCAATGAGATTCAACAGTATGCGGAAACACTGATGGTTACTCAAAATCCCAATGCGATTGATAAATCTTGAGAAATTGAAGTTATTTATAATTCGTGATTACAGTTAATATAATTAGTGTTTTTAATCTAATCAATACCGCTTCAGATACATCTGAGCGACTAAACACTCGTAACAACCCGGTAACTTAGTCTTTGATATTTAGTTAATCTAGGAAAGCATGTGTTTTCTCGGAGATTAGTTACATTTGATTCAATAATGAAGATGTTTATCACAGGTATATGACCTCGACACTTCTTGCTGAAATAGTTCCTGACTAGATTCATTTCTAGGTGCTGTTATGTATACCTTATTTTAGATGAAGTCTCACTAAATTAAATTTTAACTGCCACTAGTTGTTAAATACAATTATTAATAGTGATCATCACAATGTATGTCCATCATCAACTGCGAAAGATTTTCAACCTTGCTTTCTCACCTCGATATTTACTCACAACAAATACAGTTGTCGGTACTCTTGGTCTAGTCGGTGCTGATGTGATTCAACAATATGCTTCGCATTATGTTTATCCCAAACCGGTCGAGAAGACCAAAGAAATGGAACCTCAAGCCTTTGTTTTTGATAATAAACGCGCATTTGGTATGGCTGCTGGTGGATTAATTTTCGGAGCTGCTGGTCATTATTGGTATCTATTTTTGGATAGAAAATTTCCTGGCAGGTCTTTGACTGTTATTTCAAAAAAATTACTTTGTGAAGCTCTAATTGCACCGCCTCTTCTTACAGTTTTTTACTACCTTGTTGCACGAACAGAAGGCAAATCTAATGAAGAATGGTTCGAAGGGTTTAAAAAGAACATAGTTGACATCATGTTGGTTGATTGGTGTTGTTTTGCACCTGCACAAGCTTTGAATTTCTACTTTTTACCACCGAAATATCGTTATCTTTTTGTAGCTGTTCTTACCTTTTTCTATGATAATTTTCTTTCATTTGTTTTTCACAGATAAGTTTTGTCGTCTGTGTTCATTAATAAACATATTTGTATGATTTATGAATGTGCAAATCAATTGACAAAGCTTCGTTTGTAATTGGTATCTGTGATTTCAAGTTTATTTAAATTTCTGATAACTTGTACAATAATTTAATCGTAATTTTTATATTTCTATCAAAATTTATTTAAAACTCATAATTAAACAAGTTTATAGTGTTAACGCCTTTGTCCGTAAAAGTAAAGCCTTACCGAGATTTGGAAACCTTGCTCTCTAAAATGAGCAAAAACACTCTTTGAGCAGAGCGATCGATCGGTCGATATTTTGATTCACTGACTGATATTGGACATTTTCTGTTTTATCATTTGTAAAATCTTAACTTATATAGCAATAATGTAAATCACAATTCATTCGCTTCAATTTATTGAAATGTCAGATATAAAATAAAGTTTCAATAGCTGATGTAACAGCACATGCTGAATTCAAATGATTAATTGGTTAGCAAATTTATCGATTTGGAACCCCAATCGTCGATTCCAATTCTGTGGACTAATGTAATAGTTGTAAAATCGTAAAATTGCAATTCATGTAAATGTAAAAAAAATTTATTTGCGACCCATGATACTGTATTATTTGTACTAAGAACAAAACTCAGAAAGGGATTTATTTGCGTGATTGCAAGTCTAGAATAAACTTAAGTTCCTTTCAATGGAGAAGTTATGCGATAACTTAATATAGATAGAATCCTTTTAAATTAACAGTGCGTCTAGTTTTTATATGCATCTCGTTAATTACCAGACAATTGAAGAGAACGAGGTATGATGATTACTAATTGATAAAGATTCAAATTTGGTTGAAAGAACAGATCATTAGCAGTGAAATTAGTTGCATTAATTTAACAAAAGAAAGAAAGAGAGAGAGGCTCATCGGCTCTAATCTATAACTAACGAATATATTGTTTACCATATTTCAAAATTTAAATTACATAGCCTTAATTTTAATTTGCTTCATTTTCGATGTCTTTTTCTTCATTTCTCGTCTATGTTCCCGCTCTTCCCATTTACGTTGTCTTTCTGGATCTTCCTCATTAAGTATCTTCTCTTTTTCGGCTCTTTTCTTTTCCTCTCTTTTAGCTTGAGCAGCTTCCTGGCGTTGTGAGTGAGTTGCTTTTAGGAACAATTCTTCCAATTTTTGTCTATTTTTATTGGCTTTGTTTTTACCCTCTCGACTCAGACGGAAGCGACGGACTTTTTCAATTAAATAAAAAACCATCTGAAGAAGAGGCTTGAAAGATTCAATATCTTCGGCAGTTGTATTTCCACTATTAGGATCTATAAAAAAACAAATCAGATTAGATTCTTGAATATTTAAAGCTACAGAAAGATCTTACATTTGAAACCAAACATCATAACTCTTCGTCTATCAGGAAATTTGACTAATGGAGCATCTCTGAAAAAAATTAAAATAAATAAAATTGTAGTATTTCACTTTTGTTGAGTCTGGTTTTTAAAAAGCTTACTCGTTCAGCCGATAACCGGAGTATTGGTCGGAAATATGAATATACTGGATGGCATCTGGATATTTATTAAGTAAACTGACAATTTTTGAGTCTAAAATAGCCCCAGCAACTTCACCAATTTCGTTCATCATGACATAATTAGTATCAGATACTCCATATTTCTCCATAGACTTTATCTTAGGAGCGAAAGTTGCCTGCAAGTAAAAAAACATGCTTATTATTATCAGTGATCAGTTTAAGTATAATGTCAACAAATGTTGCTAAAACTTACAAAATCGTTCATCTCTTTAACTAATTTAGGAGCTATTTTTTTATGAGCGGCTGTAAAAACAAACGTATCCATAGCATCTTGATTAAGATATACACGAATTAACTGAAAGAAAATAGGAACATTTTAGAGTCTGTAAACGAGTAAATTTCAATGTAACTTACAATCTCATCGTGTGAAGGCATAACGATCCTCGATATAGAATTAATTAAATCTTGTCTTTTTATAAATCGCAATTCAACAAGCATACCTTCAACACAGGTTCTGCCGCTACACCATAATGTGAAAACATTCTCAGTCTCTTTTATCAAACCAAGATTTTCAATCTCTTTTTTTCCATCGTCTCCAACAAGACAAAAATTATTTTCAAGCAAATCTCTATAGCCTTCAAACCATGAATCAGCTAACCTCTGGTTTTTATCTCTACCAATTATAAAGTTAACAAAATAAATAAAAAGACACAAAATCATTAATCCTTCGAGGTAATAACTTTCCCAGCTGTTTCTAAGATGGATTGGCACTTTGGTGATTTCAATATTATCAGGTCTATGAGCGGATGATGGTGTTGGTGACCCTGCATCAGCATCTCCTTTGGAATCACCTGGATCAAAGTCTTCATTCTCTTCTACAACATCTAATTCATCATCTTCATTGTCCACAGTCGAGTCCACTAAGTCATCTTCTTCTGAATCCGGTGGTTTGACTAAAATGCAAAAAGAGAACGAGATTGGAGCGAAATGAAAAAATGATCTCTATTTAATCACTCAATAAATATGAAATTACAACTCACCTGGTTCAGCAGATCTTTGCACTTTTGGGATATCTGGTTCCTCTTCTTCAAACTCTTCAAACTCAGCAAACTCATTTTCTTCATAGGAATCGACAGATTTCTGTGATGATGCAGCAGTAGAGCAGCCAAAAAGCAGAGTTTCCAGGAGAAGACTCAAAATTAGATTCGCTGTTAGCATTGCAGATACAAATCTGAGAACCGGTCTTCTGCCGTACCTTTGCGCCATTTTAGCCCAAAGATGCACAATATCAAATAAATTAATTAATTAAATAGGTTGATTGATTTTGATGGCTGATTAATTAAACCAACCATTGATAAATTACACAATGCTAGAAATGAGCGATATTATCGATATCGATGATTATCATCGATATTCCAGCGGTTGCTATTTATCGATATTTTAACTCGTCAATTGAAACCAATGTTAATTTTTGATAAAATTCATCATTACATTTGATTTGTTAGTTACTTTTCTTTCTATAATAAGCCCGTTCCAATTTTCGGGCTTTTAAAGTGGCATTTGAGCTGCTAGCCAAAGCCAAGCAATGTTTTCATGAAGATATTACACAAGGAATCAAATCTTACTTTTTACTTAAATTTTATTTTAGTTTTAAAAATAAGTTAAACCGATGTAACTTTCAGATCAATCAATGAACGAATGAGTGAAAACACATATTTTGCATAAAAAATTTAGTTCTCGATAAAACACTAGATGTAAATAGAATTTATGTAATATAACTCATTTTCGAGGTAAATAATTCTTAGGAATACTTTAAACCAATAAAACAGAGGTATTAGAGTAATTAGAACAACAAAAAATGAATAATTCAAGGTTCAGTTATTTTAGGTCGATAATTAAAAAGGATGAATATCACCCAAATATGCAACAACAAAATGTAGAATATAACAAAGGCGCGAGCGGAAGGATGGTGACGCAAAATCAAACCAAGTCGTAAGCTAAATCCATCGATGTGGTCATAAGCTCGTTTCACTCGTCTGGTAACTTGGCCATCATAAGGACTTTCTTCAACCAAAGGTCTTATTCTGTTGACTAAATTAGACGCTGGTGATGAATGCATCATACCAATAGTTACAGCTCCGGGAATATTGTTCATATTTTTATTACTTGAAATTACATCTAATGATTCTCTCAATCTGGATTCGGTTCTTTCTAATTGTAAAGCCAATGAATGACGTTCACTACTCAATTGTTCAACATAAGTTTGCTTTTGTATTAAATTCTCGGTTAAGTTTTTGATTCGAGTTTCCAATTCATCGTATGAACTTGCTCCTGGAGCTGAAGATCGTTTGGAAACCAATTGTTTTCTGAGCTTTTCAATTTCAATATCTCTATCTTGGATTCTAGCTTGTAAATTATTTTTTATCCTCTCATGATCTTCATCAGAATCTTTCAACTCTTCTTGTAACCGAATTACTTCGTTTTTTAAATCATTCTTGGAATCTTGTTCTTCCTCGAGTGTTGCTGATAATTGACTGATCCGTTCGTTCAAAGAGGTGATTTGAGTTTTCCATATAGTGTCCAATTCTTTTGTCAGTGCATCATTTTTGTTACGAAGGTCTTGTACTTCTAGTAGCAATGAATCACATTCCGATTGCAGTAAAATATTAACTTGATTAGTGTCTTCGTTTTCTTTAAAAGTTCCATCGTTTTGTAAGGCTTTGATTAAGTCATCTTTTGATTGTAAAGTTCTTTGAGCTTTTATTCTATATTCACTGAACTCATTCTCTAATGCTTCGTGGTTTGTTTGCAGAGCGTGGAACTGTTTTTCCAATTCTTTGGCCATGTTTCTTTCTAATGCACACTGGCGTTGTAAATTGGCTATTTCTTCACTTAATTGACGTTGGCTTTCCTGGTAATTTCCGATTGTGTTCATTGTCTCTTGTTGAGCCTGAATTCGGATTTCTTTTTCATTTAAAAGGGATTCCTCTAATTCCTTGATTCTATGCCTCAAACTTAACAAATTTTCATCGAAATTGCTCAAGTTATCTTCCCTTTCTTTCAACAGTGTTTCATTTTCCTCTTCTAATCGTTTAATTATATTTGCTTTCTCTTTCAATTTATCATCACATTCTTCAAGTCGAACTCGGAGAACAGCCAATTGTGAATCTTTGACATCAACTGTAGTTTTCAAATCTGATTCTCGAGATTGTAATTCTCTTAATGCATTGTCACTAGACACAATTTGAGACTGCCAATTGTCCAATCGTTTTTGTAGTCGTTTGCAATCGGTTTCTAGATCAACATTCCGCTTAGTTAATTGCGTTATTTCTCGAGTAAGTGATTTGACTTGATCTTTAAGCTTTATCACTTGATCTGAGGTTTCTCTTTTTACTTCCACGATAGTTTCTAGTTTATCTGACGAAGTCTCAACATCTGGATTCTCAACTTCAGACCATTGTTTCTCTTCCGAAGTTACATCGGTTTTAGGAGAATCAGATCCTTGAGTTGAGGCTACTGACGAACCTTTGCTATTTAAAAATTCAAAAAGCTTCTCATCATCATCCACAGCCTTAGTGTTGCTAGGTTTAGTATAATTTGAGTTATTCACAACTTCACGAGCTGATATTGTAGAAAAAGAGGAAGAAATGGAAGAGCTTCTGGAATGTGGTGCTGATCGTTGAGATCCTTGAACAGTATTCTGATTTCCAAGAGAAATATATTGAGGTTGAGGTCGCTGTTGATAAATAGTTGATGAGCCATCTATGTCGATTTGATGATAATTTTCATTCTCTCGATAATCACTGGAGACATTGGATCGGCCTACAATTTTACTCTCGGAAGTACTCAAAACATTTGCTGCTGCATGGTCCATTTTATTGAGAATGTCCTCTGTTTTACTAGCAAGTCCAGAGAGCCAGCTACTCATATTGATATTTTAGATTGAGCAAAACACCACAAAAATGTTTAATAACAAAAATTCACGAATTAACCTAAAAAGTAGAGAGAAAACAAAGTGATGTTTACGTTGTAAGATCTGTCATTTGGTACAGTTCAATGGCATTACCTTTTCAGTTAAAACAGAAAACCAACGAAAAATGGTCACTTCCAGGTCATAACATACTCACAATAATTATCTTGTTTCATGAAAATTTAATGTACATTAATATTAATCAATTACTTTTACATCACAATTAAACATCCAAATCTAGATTCTAGAATTGTTTTCTTTCTGTTTTGACTTACAACACTGCAAAAGTAAACTAATAGGCGCTCAATTTGAAATTTGATAAATTGTTTTTCCAACTGAATGGAAATTAATAAAACAAAACTTTCACAGCATTTAATCATTGATTCAAAGAAATTAACAATGAAATAACTCAATATCACAATGTTCCAATGTGATAATTAGAGTGAATTTAGCAAAATCACATTTTAGATGAATTGATGGACAATCTTATAAATTTTAGAAGCTAACCCGCAAAATACAGTTTATGTACTGATGTTTATGTTTAATATTGATATTGATGTAACCACCACTGCTACCGAGTGCTACACCATCTAAAGCAAGCATGGACAACGAGACCAATAGTTGCTGTTATCTTGGACGATGAGGCCTTTCTAGATGGTCTAATTACATGAGAGTTATCACTTCCAACTCCCCCAGACTCTAAATTGTTATCATTGGCGGTTGATAGGGTTGAATAACTAGCAGAGCTGGTATTTCGGGTGGCAAATTGGTCAATGACAAGCATAAAAGCAAAAATTAATAAAACAAAACTTTCAAAGTATTTAATCAATGATTTAAAAAAATTACAAATAAAATAACTCAATATCGCAATTTTTCAATGTGATAATTTGAGTGAATTCAGCAAAATCACTTTTTAGATGGATTGGTTAGAAGTAAAAGAGGTCTGAGCAATTCCCGTTGAGGAGCTGGTTTTTTATGGTATCGAGCTTCGACATGCTGTAATCCTGTCAATCCTCTCCTTAATCCTGGGTTTATTATAGCTGCCAATGGATTGATGCGAGCAGATATAATTTCGTCGGACGTTTTTTCACGGTCGAAATTATCATGAGAATGAGCAAAATCAGCTGGTTCTCCAAATTTTCGCTGACGAAAAATATCATCACTATCGTCTAAATTGATTAGATTACGTCCCATGAAATCAGATGAGCTACCAACATTGTATCCAGATGGGTTGAAGTATTGACCATTCACAGTGCAAAACAAGGCTAAACCAATAATTGTTAAACTGTACATTATTTTTGAAAAAGGTAACAAATTAACAAAACTCAACAGAAATTGACGACAACAGGTGAACAATGATTGATTATCGTTAAATGTAACCGCAAAAATGTAGAAAATGATAATTTGACTGTAACCTGAACAGGGAGAACTGAATTTAACTGAGACCTTGGAAATTTCTCGACCTCAAATTTCCAATTTTTACCAATAATTCATATTTCCGTTCACAGTTTGTTGATTATCCTAACTTATGAGCCTAATTTTGGGCGTTGATTAAATTGGGACAATGTAAATCTCAAGGATAACATTTTTCAATTAGCTAGTCAATTCCAAGAAGAGATGTTGAGTTAATTCAACATAAGCGATTTTGCGCTTCAAAAGTCCTTTTCGTCAATGCTCAATAACTCTGTATAGATATTTCACAAACTATTGTATTTCGAGAGTTGAGTGTAAAAATTTAACGCAAAATAATTTCGCTTTTCTAGACAATTTTGAATACTAACTCTAGTTAGTTCATTAATCGTTATTATTAAAATCAAAGAAAGAAAATAGTAACCTTTGAAAGCTAAACATGTATCAAACGCATTAATAAGTTTTTTCAATTGTTGATCACTTTGGGCCAATAACTCCATGACTATTAAGTTTAATCACAGACTTTCTAGTCTTAATAATTATTACTTTTTATTGCCTTTTTCATCATTTTTCTAATTTTAAACACGCTATTCAGTATGTTATGAAATGTCTCTATCAATAACTTGTCCATGAAGTAGTAGTTTTGTAATTTAATTTGTCTGGACGCAAATCAACCGAGTATAAAATGGAGGTTAAGAAACTAGTAGACACGCAATGAACTGTCCGTAAAGTCCTTTGTTTCAACATTGATCACATTAGCATGTAAAACAATTACAATGTAATGAATAGTTAATCAAAAACAGGTAGTAACACAAAAAAGGCACACAGTCTATTAGAGCTACCATTTGCTTACAAGTTTACAGCTATAAATCACATCTATTCATTTTTCGCAAAACATCATGTGTTTTTTAAGATTTTTTGTTGGGCGTACTTTTAATAAACTCATAAGCTGCTGTTTTACATGAAATCGTCTCTAATAAAACGTGATCTATCAACTACTGTGCGAACCTCAAACAGCAACGTTTGTAGTGCAAAAAAATTTAATCGATAAGAACTGGTTTTTGATACCGAGTGAGGGTTGAAAGAGAGGGATTTTTATACTAATGAAGACAGACAGAAAAGACAGGTAAAATATGAGAGAAGTAGTGTTGAATGAAAGAGAAAAGAGTTGAAGAGAAAGTTATTTTCCCTCCCCTAGCAGGGAGATGAACAAAATGAACGTAAACAAACAGCTTGGAGCTCTCTCCCTTTCGCATCTCACTCTTTCTCTTTCTCTCTCATTATTTTTGCTCTTTTCTTTTTTAGTTTGATACTGACTGAGCCACTGTTATATCGCATTACTATTGTTATTTATTATCAACTAACAACAAACTGCTTTGTCTTGTTCTCTTGGATGACGGATAGATCAATATTGAAAACAAGTGAGTATTTTATCATTTAGACAACGTTTCTCAGTCCTCAATTTAGTTTGCGACTGATTTTTATCCATGGTGATAATCGTTCATCAATAATAACACTTTTTGTTGTTGCATGTTTCTGTCCTACTAATAGGTTTTTGAAAATCACATTTTTCAAATCAACAAGTTTTTACTGGTTTTACATTATTGCTATCTTTTGGTTCAAATTTAAACTGTTGTCATCCCGTTTTTTTTGCTTGTCACTACGAAAAAATTTTGGATTGATTTTTTTGGCAACACGTTTAGCTGATCAACAAAGAAAGTGTACCAATCTTGTTTGGATCATCGATCAAAGAGTTTAACCCTGTCCTGTCCCTATTTTATCAACTATGGGTTATGATGTTGAAAGATTTTTAGGCTCCATTGATGAGGAACTTAAATGTCCAATTTGTTGTGGAGTCTTGGAAGATCCTCTACAAGGCCAACGATGTGAACATGCCTTTTGTCGTAAATGTATCACAGAATGGATGAAAACCTCAGAAACTTGCCCTGTTGATCGTAATTCACTCTCCTCATCACAATTACAGCCTATTCCCAGGATTGTTCGTAATATGCTTAACCATCTATCTATTCGTTGTGATTTCATTGCTGAGGGTTGTCGAGAAGTTATCAGCTTAGAGGATTTATCTTCTCACAAATCAGAATGTAAATACAATCCTGAGCACCCAGTTCCCTGTTTACGTGATTGTGGTGCTTTGGTGCCAAAAAATCGTTTGGAGTCACATGATTGTATCAAAGATTTGAGATCATTGATCTGTTGCCAACAAAAAGAGATACAAGAGTTGAAATCTGCCATTACCATATTGGTCAGCCTTTCAGAGCAACAAAAACGAATGGCCTCACTCAACAATTCATCACTTCATGATCTTTCCGAGCGCTATGAGCATCTGAAAAACTCTATTACGAATCTGGAAAAGCCTATACAACAAATATTACAGTTGGCCATTAGATCAGATTCATTACCCTCCGGGGAAACTGGTACTTCAATTAAGGATAAACTTGTTGAGGAGACAACCCTTGAAATATACATTTCCAATGTTGATAGATGTGTTACTGCGGGTAATTTGAGAGATTATCTAGCTCGTAACGATGTTAATGTAATTGCCTGTAAAGAATCATTGTATCGAGGATGGAAAAGTGATTTCCGTATAACTATATTTAAAAGTGACTGTTCCAAAGTGCTAGATCCTAATCTGTGGCCTCGAGGAATAGTTTGTTTCGTTTGTGGTGAATATTATTCAACTAAAACAGAAGGAAATAGAGACCCTCAAGAACCAGGACCAGATTCAATTGTAAAAGCTTCACCATCACCATGGATGATCTCCTGAAGAACACATTTTCCTCGCATTTATATCTCTCGTCCTCTCTTTAACTTTCCTCTCTCAGTTAAGGTGCGAATCATTTCCATAATTTTCTTAAAACATGCCATTCTTTTTAATTCTTATTCTTATTTGAATCTCTTTATTACAGCCGTCTTAATTTCACCAGTTACACTGTATTTGTCCACTAAGAAGGGTCATCATATTTCACGTCTGTCTATATTTAACTGTCTGTGCCTGATCTTCATCTCTTCTCATCTCGGGGATGTTTTATTATCAAAATTTCCTCATCTGAGCTTCCTCCAACATCAACATCATTGCCATGATCATCAACTTTTATCATTATCATCATCATCGTCACCATCATTACCATTATCATCATCATCTCATTATTATTGCAATCTTTAAGTTTTGTTTTAACGATTCCAATGCCATCATCATCATCACAATCATCAGCATCTTTGCCATGGATAATACATCAAATCGAGTCAGGTTAAAACCTCATCTCGTTCTACTTTTAATTCTATTATTATTATCATTATTATTTGTTTCAATTCTTAAACACTGATATTATTTGTTACTGATTTTTCCTAATCAACTAATCAAACTGACCTTTTTCAATCTCAAACCGCTTTTCATTGAGAATCCAATTTTGCAACATGAAAATGAAACCTGTGATGTATAAAAATTTGTCAAGAATGAAGCAAAAGAAGTTGAGTGAAAACAATTTTGTTCACTGTTTTATTGTTTACAACAAACATTTCTTTTGCTTTAACAATTTACACCAAATGTTAAACAATCAACACAAAATGTCAAAATAATTCTTCCCTCATGTAAATTAATTGAAGATAAAAAAAGCCTTAAATGATGAGATACAAGTTTCAGCTTCTTTTTTGTCCGGATAACCATTTATTTCAATCAATCAGTGTATATCAAACAACATCAACAAAAAGTACCTTTCATCTGTTTCTTTTAAACCAATCAGATTTTATACAATTCAAGTTCTGAAAAGTGTTATTGAAAAAAAAGAAAGGCAAACAAGGAAAGAAAAAAGAGAAGAAGAACAAAAATGAATCGAAAAGAAAAAATTAGGACAGAAAAGTTCAAATTTCAAATACTCAACTCTTTCTTTTCTCTGTCTATTCCACCTTTTTCCTCTTACAACTCTTAACCAGCTTTAATGCTGTCTAATTTCATTTACCATTCGGTCTTTCCTTTCATCTCTGTCTATATTCAATAAGTTATCAAAATTCATGGTAAGTTGACAATGATGAAAAGTTTCATTCACCATTCATTGAAACTGGTTTTTCACTTCAACACCAACAACTCCAAAAACAAGCAAAAAAAAATGTTTCTCTTCTTTCTTAATTTTTGATTATTTCCTTTCTTTTCTTGTGTGTGTGTTGATATTATTTCACTATAGCTTATAATAATTTATTGCTGTTCAAATTGTTACACTTGTTTTGGCATATTGACCTAAAAACAAGCCAAATCAACTTTCAATTTCATTAACTTTTGTTCATTAAATGGTTACTGTAAATGAAAATGGTGCAAAGCTTGAAAAATAATCGCATGTTAAACTCACTGGTGTGACAGAGAAGCGATCCAACAATTAGCTAATTTCAATGAAATCTAAATGATCAAAATTGGCCGTTATTTAACTAACTGACTGATTGTCTTAATAATTTCATCATCGATTCTCCTTGAAAAAAGATTCAAGTGAAAAACAAAACATTCATAACTGGTTCTCAACTCGGAATCATATGATCAACATATTACAGTTTACCACGATTTTAATCTGCAATATAATGCAATCAATTTTGCAATCTTGCTTTTAATTGAGCTTTTAAATGACAACTGTGTCATATTGAATTTGCATAAATTAATCACAACTCTTTTCCGATCCATTTTTAATCATAAAATTGAGTTCACCATTTTGTGTTACTTTGCCAATTCACTAGACAAAATCAAATACAATAACCTATTGAGTAAGTTCATGTTTATACTGATTCATATAGAAAGTCATGTATAATTATATAACGATTGCTGGGTGATATGATAATTGGATACACGAGGGGAAGCTCGAGTGTATTCACTATCATATCATCGAGCAATATTGAGTTGAATCATTTCATTTATTTTTCGAGAGGACTGTTAACACCAATTCAAATGACTAGTGTTAATAACCAAAAGTATCAGTTGAAATAACCAGCAATTATCATCCACTGCGTTATGTAAAAATGATTATCAAACAATCTAATGTTAAAAATACAATGAAACTGAAGAGTGTTTCAGTTCCCTGTAAGGTTCAAGTCATTGATTGCTATTAAATAGGAAAAGAGATGGTTGATGATATTGAAGATGAAGAAATAATGAAATCACAATATATTAATTGTCACATGAAATTATCACCTTTGTCTCCTTTTCTACTTGAATCTTATTTACTGTAAAACCTATTATTTGTTTGTCTGCCTCCAGAATTTGCTGATTAGATGCAAAATTGCAGGTTTGAATCTTCGTTATGTATTTCAATATTCATTTATATTGATTATTTAAGGTTAGTTAGTTTTAACCGTTTAGCATCAATCATTTATGTATTACAATCTATACTTTTCCTTATTCTAGTTTAATTGCATTTAAAGTTGATAAAGGTTGTATTTACAACCGTTGACAGGTTATTTGAATTCAGTGAATCTAACAGTCAAGTGTTTACAATTGAATATGCAAACATGATTATAATCAAAATTATTTGCTTATTAACTTTAATAACGATTAAATACCGTTAATCATAATAATGTCAGTTACAATGTTTTTTTTGAACAGAAATGATCGTAATCCATAATCAAAACATATTAACCCATTAGGATTAGTGAAGTACATCAAAAACTGTTTATGTTGTTAAATTTCGTCTAATTTGTTGCTAACTGTTTGATTAAGAACTTATTTCCTTTTCCCGTTTTAACTAATTTTATTTAATTACTTGGTTTACTCCTCGAATCACGTATACATTGATTGGGGTTGATTGGTAGCTTTTAAGTTGAAAACAAGTAATAATTTAGCACCTAAAACAAGCTAATACAGTAAACAAAAGTACGTTTAGAGCCACAAAAAGTATGAAAAAACAGTGTTAGTTTGATTTGGGATCTTAAATGGTTAGCTATATTTAATTTTAAAGGCAACCTTTTTACACTTCAATGAAGTAGCTACTCGCTTTTATCAGTAATCATAGTTATTAGAATCAAAACTACAATTCAATTGTAATATATTTATCCTTTTTGATAAATTTCATTATCATTTTATAGGGTGAAATGTATAAAATCAAGGAACCCTATTTATCAGTTTGGGTTTTTTTCCCTTCTCTTTTTGATTAGTTTTTTTTACCTACTTGTGAATTAACTTTAATTAACTATCAACATTCTAATAAATCTTTCCCAAATTTATAAGTTGATGGTCAAAGGTAAGGCCTCATAAAGCTTGCTTTTCCAAGGTAAATTAATTGCAGAAAATAAACGGCAGAAAATTTATTTATTTAGATAAGAAAATTGCCTTCGCACTGGCCTTCAAAATTAATGATATCATTCACTATTTTTTATTTATTTCTTTTAAAAAAAGCTTCCAAATAAAGATTGAACGATTATCATTTTTGCTTAGCTAATTTGATTATTCAATATCATTGAGAGGTTATCTTTGAAGTCAACTTGTGTTCAATATTGGACATGCTTAATGGTCGATACTTGGATCGAGGACTTGAGTTAGACTCGTTTGATTGTCCAGGTGGAGTTGTATTGTCTTGATTATTATGTTGATTAAGTGTTGATGATGGGTGGGAAGGATTTGTGAATGAAGCAGACATCCTGTGGGTTACAGTTATCGATGAAGGTGAAAAAATGGCTGATGCATAATCTTCAAAACTACGTAAATCACGATGCTGATTATAAATTGTTTCAATGGATCGAGCTCGCTCTTCAAAATAATGTTGATAAAAGGGAACCTGAAGACGTTGAGCTCGAGAGGCATTGATTGCAGTAGCCCGGATAAGGTCACTAAGAACAGAATGATGAATAATGGCTCCTGAATAAATGGGACCAAAAAATGGAACTTCAGGTTTACGTGAAACTTCTATGCGATAATATCCAGGTAAATTGCTCAATGGATAGATAACAATGAGAACATCACAAAACTCTGTGGGTATGATTCCTCTACGATAGTCACGAGAATGTTCGGACCAAACAATGTGAACTTCATCATTCCCTAGGTGAGTTAATTTTCTTCTCAATGAATCACTTTCTTCAGCTTTAGCAGGTATTCGAGTTGAAACATGGAAAATGACTTCACAAAAAGAGTCAGCAAAATATGGAGCACTAACACCAGTACTTTTATTTGATTGCAATCCTCCTTTGAAACCAGAGTGAGTTTCCAAATCAATCTCCCAACCCAGGCCAGAGACAAACTTTTCAAACCCAGGGCTGCCGCTTTTATTCAATAAAATTGAATTTTTATCTTCTTGTCCATCAGCCACGTATATAACAGCAATTTTGTGAGTTTCACGACATTTTTGATTATCAAGATTTTTTAATTCTCTGATAGTTTTGTCATTTTTATTAAGCAGCTCAATATGTGGACGTTTCTCCCAAAAAAGGAAACCTAACTGGTCAATGAGCTGGCGACAGTGCATAAAAAACATTTGATGATAAGAGGATTGATTGCAGTCTGGTTCATTAACAGATGATTTGCTTTTAATGGAGTCAAGAGATGAAGTAGCATTTGACTCTTTGCGGTTTCCATCTCGAAGCACAGGTCTTTCAATGAAATTCATTTCTTGATAGTGTTGATTACCCAGTAACGCCATCATGTTTTCCTCAGCTTGATCAAGATTATCGTTGATGGCTGGAACAGGAGTGTTAGTAAAATATTTTTTACCAGCAATTGTATTGACTATCTCTCGAAGAATCAAATCCAAAGGGTCATTTCTCATGCATGGATCATCTTCTTCCTCTTTCTCTTCTAGATCTCCCAGACTTCTGGATTTAAGGGAAAAATCATCCGTAGGTATTGAATAACTATCCAAAGAGCTTGGGTTACGGCGATAATATGAAAAAATCGGACAACAGTCCCAAGTAAACTTTCCAATTACATCTCGTATAATTATTCTTATATAAGGATCGTTTTTAATTGTATTGTAGGAATGATTTTTCAAAGTATCCCCACTGCCACAACTGAGATCCACAAATGAAACTATACTTGAATTGTTTATCATACAAACAAGTACATTGGGTGCATTGAAGAGTTCAGCTGTAAGCTCTTCGTGATCTTGCTCGGATTTGGAAATGAAGAAATTATCATCAGCTTCATTTATACAGCTGGAGAGACGAGGTGCACCAATAGTAGGTAATGGAAAGTGATCTAAAAAGTATATAATATGACCAAGAAGCATTTTGGCCGCTAATTGTACAACCAATGCATCACTATTTGTTTTTTCAGAAAATGGATCGGCATTATTATTTCTAAAGGCTGGGTGAAAGTGAGATCCTCCAAGAAGACCAAAGTCTCCTTCTATATTACCAACGTTTTCAGACTCTGAGTGTCTTGGGTTTGTCTTATGAGATGATACATTATCACAGTTGAGTTCTGATATGACATGATTTAATACCTGGATTATAAGAAACAGAGTTATGGGACTTTGATCAGATTTGATTGGACTATACAAAATTTTCCGCGGTAAGCACAGGCACCAATGTCCAAGGCACATAAGCAAGCTGAGAAGCAACTGTTGAAAGAATGAAAGAAAATATTAATTAATATCTTTGTGAAGTAATAAAATTTGATTCAACTTACATTACGATAATCTTTATAAGAGTTGCTTTCACGAACCATCGTCAGATGATTTGTGATAGAAAAAATAAGACCCTCAACAATTTGTCTGGGAATGTTAGGATAAGTCTCGACAAGAAAGTTTATATGATCAGTTTGTAATTTTAGCATATCGCATGCTACCCTTGAAAGATATCTGTTATTAAACTGAAAAATAATAAAATTATTAGATAAATAAGCGACTAAAAAACTGGAAACTTACTCTTGTTTCAGCAATAAATATATTAATTATTTCAGGAAGTATATTTGACATATTACGATTTCTGTTTTTCAGATCTTGGTAGATAATTATTCCAAGACAATTGAGTACAACACATCTTGCTAAGTCGGTTTGCTCTTGTTTTCGGGCTCCCATCAGAATTTTCAAAATTGAATCCTATAAAAATAATTAAGATAATAATTAAAATGGTATTTATGAAAGCTTATTGTGACGTTGGCCAATTTAACGTACTTTTGTGTTACCACAATCAATAAGAACAGGTTCGAGACTATTGGGATCTAGGACTTTCAAATTATGACAAATTTCGGTGAGCGACATCAAAGTACCAAGTAAAGACAGTGCCTCAAATCGTGGTATCTATCGTTGGATCAAAAGTTGAATTTTCAGTTAAAAAATATTAAAAACTAACGATAAGATTTTGTTGAGGTAAATAAGATTTTTCATACATTAAAATCTTTAGACTCTTTGGCATTAACGATAATATCACAAGAATGTACAAAGTCAAGCAAAAGAATTGAGGATCCTTTCAGACTAGATGAAAACAGTTTGACACCAGAGTATCTGATAATAGTACAGAGAGTTTCCTGAGAAATAAAGAAAATTAATTTGATTAGAAGGGCGAAACTTCGAAATGAATAAAGATTAAAGAAATTATAAATTTCTGAATAATTTTGTACTTACCAAATCTTTCGAGTGAAGACCTCGATGGATAGAACAATAAAATAAAGATAAAAATTCATTTGATGAATGAATCTCTGGCATTCGAGTAACAATTAAACAGAGTAACTTGTAAGCAACTATTTTGCCCTTCCTATAATGATTAGAAAGTTGAAGAGTTTCAAATAGCCATGAAGCAAAAAAATGAATCGGTGGTACGTAGAGAGGTGGGGGTGGAGTAGATAAATTGTCAAGGGAAACTCCTAAATTATCTCGAATGACCAAAAATATATCAACGATATTGGATAAACACTCTATAACTTGAAAGTGAAGCTGGGGATCTCTAATTTGGTTTACATCACCGAGAGAACCAAGCATTCGACGCCAAATTATAAATGAGCTTTCGGCTGACCAGCCTCGATGAGGTCCTCCGGCTGCAACTGAATGTCCAGTTGAAGATAAACTAATGTTGCTATTAATGGAATTGCCTTCAATGTGACAGGGAGAATCTTTAAGACTATTTGCATCTAAACCACTGGATGGCGTCGGTGAGGGTGATCGCAAATGATAAACGGAAGATTGAGATGAGGATGGAGATTCAGTCAGATTAGTTGAAAAATGATCAAGAGATTTACTTCGCGATGCAGATCTTAATTTTGCGAAACCGTTGAATTTGGAAGATAATGGCGTAGTTTGGATGACAGTTTGTGTCCGCTTGCGAGTTATAGATTTTTTTCTAGCCAACAATTGACTATCACTGGGACTACGAACGAGAGCTCGATTAGCAATGGCAAGTTTTGTTGGCAAATTATTTGTCGTAGGTGTTGAATAATCAGCATTTGTAGTTTGTGATCTTGATTTTGTTCGCTGTGTCACACCGTCGATTGCATCAATAGAACGTTTTGAAATGGAAAAATTGGTAGAAATTTTTGTTGCATTACCAGAATTATTGTCGTTTGAAATTTTTGCAGGTGAAAAAGATACTGAGCCATCTTGTCGAGTAGATTTTTTACCATCTTTGGAAGAACGTGAGGGAAGAAATGCTTTTGGACCTTTTTGTGTTCTCTTTCGTTTGTCAATCAGTCGTTCCAAAGGTAAATCATGAAGATTGATATGATAAACATGATAAGAAACATTTCTTGTTAGCGACTCCATGTTTTTACTCCAGTCTTTAATCAGTTCCTCCCACTGAGTCAAGGATGTAAGAATTGATTGAAATTGTTCCCATAAATTTGATGATATATAAGCCTCCAAGTTTGCTTTTATCATACCAACAACTAATGTCTAAAAATAAAAAATGAAATTTGATTAAACCATTATTACAAACAGATTACTAAAGACGCAAAAATGATTTCAAAGCATAAAGTGATAATAGCTGAGATGATAGTGAATTCAATTTTCAGTAAAACCACAAAAGTTTCCCATGAAACGTCTTGTAAACTTGATTCACATTCAAACAACGATTGAGCAATAAGTAGGTTGATTTTTACACAAAAGACAAAACTTTGAAAGCGATTGACAGGAAAAATTGGAAAATGAACTTGATTGTTGACAACAAAGTATAACAACAAATAAGTTAGACTAAATTCTTCAGGTGAGAAACCTTAATAACCGCATTTCAAGATGAAAAATATTCAGAACTGATGATTTTGATTTTCGTCTATTATTGAGAAAAATATTTACCTGAAAAAAAGCCGGTGCCAGACGTCCACCAAGAGAGTCTTCTTTTCGAGGAGGAACCTTTTCGGTATACAAAAAAGAAGTGATTCGAAGCAAGACTGAGAGCAGTAATTCCCTAAAGGTGATAGAACGAAATGATAAAAAGATGTTAGTTGATCAAATTGGCAAAATCAAATCTTTAGTTCGCTCAAAATTACCATGTACACTTATTCATCTCGAGTTCCATTAGCATATATCTCCATGTATTTAAAACTCGTTTGCACATTTCAACTTGTTCATCAAGCAGTTTTGGATCATCAGAAGGCACTTGAAAAAGAAATATATTAGCTGCATTGGCAATGAAAACTCGATATAACGCAGAAGGTCCAGCCTTGATTGTTTCGCTTTCATTGTATTCCTCAGATGTAGATGATGGATCCTTCATGAAAGAAGGTACATCATTTGTACAGAGAATCCAATTTCGATAAACGGAGACTACAATATTCATTGTACTGGCTTGTTGAAAAGGCATTAAGAAGGCTTGACGAAAAATTTGATGAAGTAAATTGATATTAGCTCGGTTAGAGCAAAAAGTAGATCGCACCAAGTCATAATCAAAAGGAGTTGGCTCACGCCATTCCGAATTTGATTCATGAGATGATAAACTACCAGATGATTGTATTTTATTCTGACCAGTCTGCAGATTATCATAGCTATTGCGTCTTCTAGTTACTTCTTTCTCTTCATCCCTCATATATTTAGCCAGCCAAAGTATTACAACACATTTAAAGGGTAACAGACGATCTTTAACAGCTTCTTCGTCAGGCTTACGAAGTGTTGGCACTTCAAGGGTTGGTGCATAGATAGAAAATCCAGTATCCAGATTGGGAAACAGGTGAGGTAGATAGATGGATTTAAATTTTTCAAATAAAAAATGGAAACATTTCCTTTGTCTGTATTCTTTTGGTTCTCTCCAATAGACCCGGGAAACTTGAGATACTAAATAGTCCATAAGATATTGTAAAAAATAATAATTTTTAGGTTCTCTGGGTTCACTTTGATGAGCAGGTATTAACGGCTCATTATCACAAGAGTTGAAAGCTGAAGTTGACCGATAATTCGAAGTGTCACTGGTGTTACTTTCATTTGTAGAATGATCAACATAGAAAGCTGAATTTTCAGTTGGTTCACTTTCACCAGCCTGTTTGTTAATGTATGACGCGAAGAAATTGGGTACATTAGGTACTATTCCGGGAACCAATATGGCAAATAAATTATCTAAGACTGGGTCATTCGTTTCTCCAATGATTTGATACCAGATCAAAAAAAGTCGAATACCTTCTTGTCGAATCTGAAGAGAAAACAAAGAATGAGTGAGAAATATTAATTATTTAGATTACATAATCATTTGCTTTGTGACTTCAAATCAGTTGATTGAATGTTTGTTTAACCCCAAAAAGATCACTAATTATTTTTTTGTTCTTATGGTTAACCTTTCATCAAAAAATAATCTGTTGCTCCTACAGCTTTGATTGTATTAGCGTGATGGAAAAAAGTCAAGTTCAAGAAAATTCAATATCACAGGCCTCAGTAGATCCAAAGAGTGGTCAAATCACGGGTCATTGCGCTTGATTTCTTTCTAAAAAGTTGATTGTTCATTTCAGAACAAACCAATCAAACACAGATGAGTAGTTTTACTTTCACAGGTATATTTGATGAACAAACAGTCAACATTTGATCTGATTCACCTTTCTCTTAAAAAATTAAACAAAATTTACTTTGAAACTGTTTCCAGGGTTAAGTAACTTTTTCATCACATGAATCAAGCTATGGAATTGCCATTTTCTTTCAATTTGTTCGGGAAGAAGAATAAGAATTTTCTGAAAATAAAGAAAATGAAATTTATAGTTAATGATATTAAATATGAATCGCCACGTTAATCATAAATTCATGATTATATTTATCAATAAAAAAACAATAATTTTTATTAATAGTTGTTTCTATCAGTCCAATCTGGTAGTTAATAAACAGCATTGAATCAAGTAGGTGAAACCATTGGTACGTTGTAAAATTTTCAGAATAGCAAACACAGTTTATTAGGGGCTAATAAACATATAGCTTAACTTTAATCCATGATTTTTCTAGCAAACTATTAAAATGCTAACTGATTGAATTGACAGATAACTTACCTCAAATAAGTAGAGAATCGGTTCATAAAGTGTTGTATACTCTTCTCTGACTTGCTTTTGCCCTGGAAAAACGAAAAAAAGCTCTGTTTAGCAAAGTTATCATGATAACAATTTATTTGACTTTTACTAAATTCAAATAGCTTAGAATTTAAATAAAGATTGACAAATGATAATGAATATAAAACTTGCAACCTCACCTTTTTGTTTTGATAAAGCCTCCTGTGTTGTGAATGCATTGAAAAATATAAAATAAATATGATGGAAGTGAGCTTGAAAAAAGGCTTTAGATTCAGCAAGGTCATAGTTTTCTGTGAAAATTGGTAATAAAATGAGAATAAGGCAATAAATTAAAAAGTTCAAAAGTTATGGGGAAAGTTAAAGGACAATAGAGATGAAAAGTAAGAAATTTTTACCTAGAATGATTCTCATATGTTTTAACCTATTGAAGCAATCATTCTTTTCATCCAAAACCTTTTGAACCGATTTTTCAACCGGGTTTTGTTGTTTCTTGGTAAACATAGTTATTAGTTCATTGACGATTCACTAAGTATAAAAATGAATAAAAATAATGTTGGTTACATTGATAATAATTAAAAAACAAACAAATTGTTGATTGCACTAATTGTAGAAAAAGAGAAAAACTGACAACAAAAACAAAACATGAGTTGCTGCTAATAGGTGGCGTTGTAAAATAAGATGCATCATTCAAAAATTGCTTTTGAGCAAATCAAAGGTGAATGAAGCGAGTCTAAGATTTTAAGATGATCATTGATTAATTAATTAAGAGATTGTATTCATACAGCAAACTCACAAAACGCAAGCTGTTAAAGATGGATTTATAATAATTCTTAACTATAGACTACTTAGGTGTTATATTATTCTGGGTAACGTACATTTACAGAGACAATTTTACCTTCTCATGTCACTTCATTGTTCATTTCAACTGTTGAAGGAAAAAAAGTTGTCGACAAAATCAAAGTGAACATCAAATGTTGAGTGTTTAAAGTCGCCAATTGAAACATTTATACAGTCAGGTAAATAACAATAGTTATTTACTGTCTATTTCATTGTTTAATCATTTTAAGCCAATGAATCAAGGAAGCGAAACATAATGAAAAACACTTATTGTTTGCAGTGTAATTGGTGTTGGTATCTCTTTGATGTTTCATTATTTTTTGAAACTATCCGATAGACATTCATCGATTCTGGTTTGGAAAGAAAATTAATTTCAACAAAATGGTTTACTGTTGGTGGAAGAACCTCGAACTAATTCAATTATTATTTAATAATGAGAAAGCAAGATAAGATATTCATACAGGACGGAAACAAGATAAACATGAGAAATAAATGTATGAATAATTATACGTTTCTTGCAAGAATGAGTCTGATGTGAGAAAAAATAAACATAAAGTAATTCAAATTAAAATAGCCACTTACTTGATATTTACAGCAATTGAGTCCAAATTTTGAAACTGTTAAATTTTCAGGCATCAAATTTAATCTGATTGCATGATGTTTTAATGTAGTATTTGCTTGAAAATAATAAATTCAGTCAGGGTTCAGCACTGTAAACTAGAGCTTTAATAAATGCTCCAAATCAAAAAGAGTCACAACTGAATGGCACAATATAACACTGAAAATCCATCTGAATTTGTTGTCACTGTTTTTGACAAGATGTGACGAGGTTATTATTGAATTATTAAATTTGTCTTGAAGAGATCACATTGGATTATGGGATAACAAGGAAGGTGTGCGAAGACATTAACCATTGTAAGTCCAATTGAAGTCACAAATTAAACAACTGAAGTATAATTGATTGTTGGTAATGATCAATATCCATACACGCATACAGTTTTAGTTAAGCTAGATTAGAAGACGTTGAGAGAGTCTTTTGAGTAGAGATGTAACTTGTTTGTGTTTTAGGTTCTTTCGGGTATAAACACAATGAAATGTAAGCTTTTGGTGTATTGATAGAGGACTTAATGATAGTGAACTGAAGAAGCAAGTGTCAAAGTTTCCATCTTTTTCATTTTACGCTTCATAACAGATAACAGATAAAAATGTTACACAAAAATATAAAACAAACTAAAAGCGCTTTAATGGAAGTGTATCTGGTTAACTAATACTAGAGACTTCGTAGTTACTGGCAACTGGTTAGAGGAGGGAAAGTAACCAAGTATGGTTACGGTAACCAGTAATTACTTGTTGGCTATTATTGTTGATAAACTTGATCAACTGCAAAAATTATTAAAATAAATGTCAGATCAGTAAAGGCCTGAAAGAGTTAAAACCTTATTTACAAATGAATAGTTTAGATTTGATTCTGATTAAGTTCAGTATTCTAGTTGACAATTGCAATGAGCAACACCGAATAGCAAACTTTATTGGTTGTGGCTTAGTTGGAGTCACTGTTTCTCTGAATCGACCCATTGAATGAAAATGGTTTTTGAAATTTACATTAGAAAATTTGTTTGATTGATTGACTTCATTGAAATTTTTTATGGCTCCATGAATCGAAACTCTTGAAATCCAAAAGTCTAAGGTTTTGACTATAAATACAGGGTGTTAGAAAATCAACTAGACCTATTTGCGCTTCAATATTTTTCGAACCAAGCAGAGTAAACAGACTCGTGATATATTGTTAGAATCGTCTTCGACTAGAAAACATATTAAAATAGAAAAAAGAACTTTCGCATAACTTCAGCTCTCAAAAATGGACGAAAACTAAATTTTTTTCTGTTTTGGATTTTCGAATTTTTCATTGATTTCGGACTCGAATTTTTCTTACTTTTTAAGGTCAAAAGAATCTTAGATACATGTCAAAAAATATGCTGCAACTTTTTATTTCAATTAATTATCTAGCAAAAATTTTCCCTATTATTGAATTTTCATCCCATAGTAAAATTAACACAAAATTGCTTCAAATTTCACCTGAAATTTTCACAATTTTTTGCATCGTATGGAATTGGTAGTTCGGCCTAGAATTTTTCCTTTTGAAAATGAACAAATATTTTTAAGTTGGACTTTCCGCTTTCTAATGATACTAAAAATAAAAAAAATGGCCCAGCTATTTCGAAGTTATTATCATTCAAACAGGTCTAGTTGATTTTCTAACACCCCGTAGCTCTTGAGAGTTGTAGTGAGTTTAGCTGTTCAAACTGTATAAGTAATGTTTTTTGTTAGGATAAATTGTTCAGGTGAGAAACCTTAATAACCGCATTTCAAGATGAAAAATAGACAGAACTGATGATTTTGATTTAATTTTATGGAAAAGCCTTGAAAAATGAAAACCAATAGATGATTATTTGAAGCTGAACTATTAATTTTGAAATGAACATTGATTTACAGCAATTGAAACTGAGTCATTTCCTTTCTAGTTGATTACGATAAATTAATTCAATGCGTAAATCTGGTTGAATTAAAAACCTAATCTTCTATTGCTTCGAGGTGAATTAGGAATTGGAAACGTTTACTCCAAGTGATTGTTAACTGGGACCGATTAGTTCAAGAATTACTGTCCTGGAAATGGGCGATAGGCTTGAAGGTAAAAATCACTCGCAGGTCGACGTTGAATAAACGATGGTGAGGTTAATAAATATGATGAATAAAATGGTGCTGGTGTTGGTGGAGGTTCAATGATAACTCTGGCAATGATTCTAGTCTTATGCCATCATATCCTATGGTTACCTTGAAATCACCATCGTTTATTAAATCAACTTTCTGTTGAGTTGAAAGAGTAGGCCAAAGTTAATCATAACGATTAAATATGAAGCTATTATATGATTTAGATGAATTGGAAACATAACTGTATTTCAATCCGTTTCCTTGAATTACTGCTTCCTTGCATTGCCAGTAGACAATAGACGACAAGAATAATTGATTACGGTGGTTTCTCGGTTGCAATTTGATTAACACCGTGTTGATGGTGGCGATGAATGTGATCTGAAGAGTAGCTGTGAAGATATGAGTATGCTGAGTTGACTGCAGAGTGTGAAGATGATGATTGAGTTAAATTATTGTAAAATCTATTTTTTTCACGTCCATAAGGTAATAAACCATTATTTGACTCTGTTTGCTAAGGTAACCACCACTGGTGTTTCCGCTGGTTGAATTATTCAAACCATTATCATCTTTAATGGTATTATGAGAGTAAGGTGCTGATGAGGATGAACGTAGATAACCATGAAAGTTGTGAACACGATCGATTTGTGGCCAAAATGACCGAAGATCATATTCAAAACTGAGGCTAGTAACCATAATGACGGATCAACCACGGCGAGGTACTATTGATGACTATCAAGATCGATTGTTAAATCATTGAGATGACTCTATTAGGGCATTGAAAGAAAGGAAAATTTTTTAATTAAGATAATTTAAAACCATAAACGAGTCACTAAGAAAATGGTTAAAGAAAAAGATAAAGAAAAAGTTTCAAAGTTTCCAGATTATCTGGTTAACTATAATACATCGACTTCGTAGACTTCGTAGTTACTGGCAACTGGTTAGAGGAGGGAAAGTAACCAAGTATGGTTACGGTAACCAGTCATTACTTGTTGGCTATTATTGTTGATAAACTTGATCAACTGCAAAAATTATTAAAATAAATGTCAGATCAGTAAAGGCCTGAAAGAGTTAAAACCTTATTTATAAATGAATAGTTTAGATTTGATTCTGATTTAGTTCAGTATTCTAGTTGACAATTTCAATAAACACCGAAACTAGTAAACTTTCTTGGTTGTGGCTCAGTTGGAGTCAATGGGACAACAACAGTGATTGAATAAAAATGGTTTTTGAAATTCACATTAGAAAATTTGTTTGATTGATTGATTTCATTGAATTTTTTTTATGATTCCATGAATCGAAACTCTTGAAATCCGAAAGTCTCAGGTTTTGACTATACATTTTAGCTCGTGAGAGTTGTAGTGAGTTTAGCTGTTCAAACTGTTTGAGTAAATGAAGATGTTTTTTTTGTTTATGAGCTTTGGTGAGCTTTTTAAATTTGAGGAAAGTTATCGGGTAATTCAATATTTTATTAGTTTAAAATGAGATCAAAACAATTAAGAAATGCTTTTTGGAATGGTTATTTACAAGCCAATAACCTGACAAATATGGCATTCCAAGATCAAGGATAATTTTTAACAATAATTTATCGACTTTAATGTGAAGATGAAATTGGCATTTGATTTCGTTTTGCTAACAATTTTAAGTTGGAAGTGAATTAAAGTGAATAATGTTGTTAAAATTTGTGTGATGATATTGAAAACATGGAAAGTTAATCAAAAAGGAAGAACAAAGATGAAGATGAATAACCATGTTGTTGTTAAGATAATTATATTTATAATGGAATAACAGAAAATGATGAATAAATATGATGAGATCCTAAACAGTTGGTCATGGACTTGGTTCAAAAATTTTACACATTGGTGACCTCAAATTTGATAGCAGTGGTTCATTATGGTTAAGAATTGTGATAATGTAATTTTAATGATTGATGAATGTGATGGTCGACAAAAAATGTTGCTGGTAAAAATGATGTTCATCTGGCTGATGAATGGTAACGACTAGAGATCAATAAATAGACATTATTGGAGCAAAACAGAGCCATCAATGATAAACTAATTGTGTCATGACGAGTAAACCAATAATGATTATAGATGTTGGTACCAATGATGAACCAGAATCTTTATTACAGCCATCATCCTTGCAGCAATAAACACAATCGTAAGAGTCTTTTGACATATCACATTGTTGACGAAGTTTAAAAATGTTGTCGAAAGCGGGTTCACGGAAATTACATGGTCCAAGAGCACATTCTCTGATCACTTTTCGTGGCTGGTTAGCTATAGATATAATAAAATAGACAAAAGAATAGAGATAAAAATAGTAAAAATCGATAACAAATTAGCATAACTCTGATAATTACCTGTTTTAAGCATCCTCACTAAACACCTATCATAAGCTTGGTTATTTGGACACTCTATCAGATCTACATCAGGACATGGCTCCGAGCTGTAGCTATCACATATGTAACATTTTAACCCAATCACCTTTCCAACGATCACTGAAAAACAAACAAATAATTAAGAACAATTAGTCAAATAATAAGATTTATAAACATTAAATTGATAAACAAGAAATGGTAACTCATATCCATTAAAGATACATTATGCCTTGTAAACATATGATTTTCATCTGTTCAACAAAACTGGTCTCATCAAGGGGGTTGCATTGAAATTACAGTTAATTTTAAATATTGTTGTTACAAAATAAAATGAAAGATAAAACTCAGAATTTTGTGTCGTTTATTCCATAAATCAACTCAATTTGAAGATAATAATCATTAATCTTTAATCCAAAGAGTACTAATATAATGAATCAAGCTCTCTTGTTATGCACAAAAATATAATCCGTGATTAATTGATCACAGGAGAAATCATTTTCTGTGTTTATTAAGCTTTTTTCCTGTAAACTTGATTATTTCTCACGAATTTCAGATTTCAATCTGAAAAAATCAGTCTTAATGATTGAAAGATTCATTCGTAAAATTTTTTAGAAATGAAGTTTTAAGGTACAAAAAATACAGATTATGAATCTGAAAGCTATTTTCAGTTGAATTTCATAAAATAAAATTAATTTCAAGTTTCAAAATGTTGAAAATTACAGCAATTAAAAGATCGCAATTTTATCATAAAAATCAAGTGTTGATACACAGCTTTCGTTGCTTAACAAAGGCAACAAAAAATTTATCATAAGTTTGTGATGATGTCAGTCTTTAACTAACCTGAGACTCGTTTCAAGTTTTTCATGGTTATTTATGTTCATCATCAAGCTCAATACCGTTCAGATTAAAAACTGGGTTGCTAAATTGATTTGAAAGATATTCCGTTGATTAAATAAAATGTACATTACAACAAGAAGGGAGTAACGATCAATTTACCATTTGAAAGTATAAGCATTTCTTGAATTGTCCAAGGCTTATTTGATCATTCATCTCAATCAAATCAACTTCAATTACACCAATTGACAAACATTTTTTTAACTCTCTTTCAACCTCTTTTAGTCAACCAGAAACATATTGACAATAAACAATTTACAGAATTGATCTAATAAAGTTGAAATGTAAAAAAAGTCAATCATTTCTGTTGAATCTAAATTTCCCTCGCTTCAATATCTTCTTGCAAGGAACGATGGCGAAACCAGAGACAAAACCTAAATACAGTAAAAGCTTGAGCCATGAGCGTGTTGAACATATTTCAGATATAATTGGTTCCTGGGGTCCACTTCAGAAGCGACTTTTCCTATTTTTGGGAATTATTTATTGTGTAGCTCCATATAACAATGCAAGTTTATTTTTTTATGCCATTAAAAGTGATATCGTCTGTGTTGAATCGGATGATTCAGAGGTAAGTTAATGTGTCTTCATAGATTCTGCTCTAGTTTTTACTTTATAACCCAAATTTTGTAGACTTCAATTGAAGCAGATCAATGTACATTTGATGAATTGGATTCTTGTGCATCTTGGTATCACAATGTGACCAGGACAACAATAACCAAAGAGGTGAGTGAAATGATAAATTCAATTTTTTCAGTTCCTGTGATACACATTCATATGAGATTTAGTATCATCTGGCCTTTTGATGGTAATTTTTATTCTAGTGGGATTTGGTTTGTGAGCGTTACTGGCTTCGATCAGTTGTCCTCTCGTCTTACCAGTTTGGCTACCTAGTCTCAGGTCTGATTGTTGGTTACATCTCGGACAGGCATGGACGCAAACTGGCCATTTTGTTTTGCATTTTACTGGAGATTGTCTGTAGTCTCGGTCTTATTTTATCACCAAATGTTTACGTTTTCATAGCAATCCGAGTTTTCCATGGTATTGGTGGCTATGGACGTTATTTGGCCTCAGTTATTTTGCGTGAGTTTCTTCTAAAAATTTAACCATCCACATTATATACTCATCTATTTTTATCATACCAATAGTCATGGAAAGTGTGGGACCCAACCTTAGAGGTCGAATCCTTATCTGTTATGAATGGGTTTGGTTTCTCGGGGAATATGTCATGATGTTTGTCACCTATCATGTACCCAAGTTTAAATACATTTACATGGGATCAATGATTTTCCAATTACTATGCATTGGAATTGTAACAATATTACCTGAATCAGCTCGATGGCAACTTGTGGTTGGACAAATTGACAGAGCTGAGGAAACGTTGCGCTTGTATGCCAAAAAGAGGAAATCTAAAGGTGCTGAGAGTGACACTGAAACTGCTAACAAAGACGACGAACAAAAGGAACTGTTTGACCTTAAACTTGACAAATTGCGGGGTCATCTATATTCTGGAGAAAGGCCAACTACATTTAGAGGATTATTTTATTTGATTCGTCAACCACGAATCTCTCGATTTTGCTTTGCATTGTATGTTATCTGGTTTCTTCGGACATTCATTGGATGGGGATTAATCTATAGTACACTTGATCTTTCTGGTAATGTTTTCATCAACAATGCAATCATCTTAACAGCAAGTGTCCTAGCCAATCTATTCATGACCTGGAAAATTGATTCCTTCCGCCGTCGATCAATGTTAATCACGTTTTTCTTGATGACCTCTGTTTTGCTTTGTGCCTCAATTGCATTCGTTGAATCTCATCAATATATTATTCCTCGGATGATTTTGATTGCCTCGGGTAAATTTTTCTCAACAGCCATCTACAGTTTAGTTTATGTTTACACATCAGAAATATTTCCAACCAACATTCGTCACCTTGGTGTTGGAACTTGCTCCATGGTATCAAGAATTGCCTCCATTTCAGTTCCATTCTTAGCTCAATTGGTGAGTTTAGGTTAATTTTAATTTTTGTAAAATTGATTCTAATTGTCTTCTTTAAATATGTTAAACCAGACTTTTTCCTGGTAGCGATTCAAGTAAGGTTGATTCGCTTCTCTCATGAGCTCAATATGATCCATCATTTAATTCAATTTAATTAATTTTATCTTTCTTTTCATTTAATTTGATTACTTAAAGACTGCCGCTACAAGTCTGAAATTAACTTTTGGTATATTTGCTGCAATGGGAATCGTTGGAGCATTAGCAGCAACATTATTACCCGAAACAAAAGGCAAAGAGATTCCTGATACAATTGAAGGAATGGTTGAAATACATGCAATTAACAAACCATGAACAGTTCTAGAATTAAAATGAATTAATTACTGCTTTAAAACATTTAAGATTTTGCTTTGAAAATTTAGCAACAAGAGATTCAAGTTTGTATATTGTTATTGATAATTTTACCAAAAACATAATTTATAATGACTAACCTAAACATTGTATTTTCAAGACTCAACTCAAAAATAAAGATTACTCTCACTTTATTTGTGAAACTAATAACATTTCTTCGTTGCAATATTATAATAGATTCGTCAAACTCACATGTATTTTTAATCGAGATAGTCAACAATTTATGGTTATTTAATGCATTATAATCGTTCCAGTGTCATAAAACTAGGATTAATAAAGATAAAGTCTTTAATAACCAACAACCTCATTAACAGAAATGAATATCATTAACATTTCGTCTGTCAAGACTTCAAGTATTGGGTCCAGCATTTATTTGAGGATCGATCTGTCA